TCTTAAACTGTGAACAAATTAATAATGTAATCAAATGGGCTAATTTATTAAAGGTAAGTTGTTAGTTATCAAGAATCAGTTTCAGTATTGAGCTTCATGTGTTCCTACCAATCAATTGCCAAGATTTGTCTTCATGTACCATCCAAGCCTTGTAGAAAATGATAAAAAATATAGGCATTTTAAAAATTTTGACTATTACATAAAAAGTAGAATTTTTAGGTTAAAAATTTGCTTTCTTCCTGAGATCTATATTTATAAACAATGCCTTCAAGTCGTTTTTGTGTTAAAAAATTCATTATGGTTTAAGCTTTTCGTTATTTAAGGGGTTGGTATCAGGATAGTTAGGTAAAACCGTTATTGATTAATACCATCCTAAGTATTGGAAACAATAGAAAAATGTTAGAAATGGAGTGGTTAACTGAAGGCGTTAGTGGTTAATATCGAAGTTAGTAATGGAGTAGTTAGATAAAGGCGTTAGTGATTAATAAAGATGTTAGTAATGGAGTAGTTAGTTTAAGGCGTTAGTGGTTAATAAAGATGTTAGTAATGGAGTAGTTAGTTAAAGGCGTTAGTGGTTAATAAAGATGTTAGTAATGGAGTAGTTAGTTTAAGGCGTTAGTGGTTAATGAAGATGTTAGTAATGGAGTGATTAGTTGAAGGCGTTAGTGGTTAATAAAGATGTTAGTTATGGAGTAGTTAGTTAAAGGCGTCAGTGGTTAATAAAGATGTTAGTAATGGAGTAGTTAGTTTAAGGCGTTAGTGGTTAATAAAGATGTTAGCGATGGAGTGGTTAGTTGAGGCGTTAGTTGTTAATAAAGATGTTAGTAATGGAGTGGTTAGCTTAAGGCGTTAGTGGTTAATAAAGATGTTAGCGATGGAGTGGTTAATTGAGGCGTTAGTTGTTAATAAAGATGTTAGTAATGGAGTGGTTAGTTGAGGCGTTAGTTGTTAATAAAGATGTTAGTAATGGAGTGGTTAGTTAAAGGCGTTAGTGGTTAATAAAGATGTTAGTAATGGAGTAGTTAGTTAAAGGCGTTAGTGGTTAATAAAGATGTTAGTAATGGAGTAGTTAGCTTAAGGCGTTAGTGGTTAATAAAGATGTTAGTGATGGAGTGGTTAGTTAAGGCGTTAGTTGTTAATAAAGATGTTAGTAATGGAGTAGTTAGTTAAAAGCGCTAGTGGGGTTAATATAGATGTTAGTAATGGAGTGGTTAGTTTAAGGCGTTAGTTGTTAATATAGATGTTAGTAATGGAGTGGTTAGTTGAGGCGTTAGTTGTTAATAAAGATGTTAGTAATGGAGTAGTTAGTTAAAAGCGTTAGTGGGGTTAATATAGATGTTAGTAATGGAGTGGTTAGTTTAAGGCGTTAGTGGTTAATAAAGATGTTAGTAATGGAGTAGTTAGTTTAAGGCGTTAGTTGTTAATAAAGATGTTAGTAATGGAGTAGTTAGTTAAAAGCGTTAGTGGGGTTAATATAGATGTTAGTAATGGAGTGGTTAGTTTAAGGCGTTAGTTGTTAATATAGATGTTAGTAATGGAGTGGTTAGTTTAAGTCGTTAGTGGTTAATAAAGATGTTAGTAATGGAGTAGTTAGTTTAAGGCGTTGGTGGTTAAAATGAATATTTGTATTGGGGTTGTTAGTTAAAGACGTAATTTGTTAATTAAGATGCTGGAAACGGGGTTTTTTAAGTTGCTTAGTATGATAAGATTGGTGATGGTTTGGTAGACGAAGGTCTCAAATTGTAGTGTAAGTTTTGGGTAATTACTAAAATTTTAGAGTAAATGCAAGATGATCTTAATTAAACAAGTTAGTTTAAGGTGGGTTAGGTAAAGGTATTGGAGTAAAGTAATTGGTTATTATTAATTGCTATTAACTGTTATTAGAGAGTATGTGTAAATTGATGTTAATAAAATAATTTTGCGTTTATTTCGATTAATTAAAGGTATAAGCTTGTAGTAACTAGCTGTTAGTAATTGTTATTGATTATTGAATAGTAAATTTAAGGTACAATTTAAGAGATTATTTAATAATAAAATTATATTATTGAATAGTAAATATAATGTGATGTTAATAAAATAAATTAGTATATGATTGATTAGCTAAAGGCTTTTGCGTATTGTTACAACTTTTTTTAAAAAGCATTTGTTATGATTTAAGAGTATATGTAAAATTATGTTAATAACAAAAGTTAGTGTTAGGTTTGTTAGCTAAAAGCGTTAGCGTGTAACTACATCTTTTTATCAATTTGCATTGGTTTAGTGTTTATGATGAAAGAAATTTTTTTTATAATGGTTAGTTTATAATTTTCGAGCGAAAAATTTGTAAGAAGTGTTAGAGATGATGTCTTTAATAAGTTATGATGATGATTTAAAGTATTTTAATTACTGAAAGATATAGGTAATTTTGAACTTAAATACTTTGAAATTGTAGACATAACTCAGGTCTTCATCTTTATTCACTTATTCCCGTCACAATCTTTGGTGAATAGAGTTGATACATCTTTCAGTTTCTGCCTCGTATGTATGTCTCCCGAAACTGTCACTGCAACTTTCTTGAAATTTTCATCAACATTGCTGCAATGTCTTTATTTGTTGTTTTTCTGGTTCTGTTGATGAACCTTGAACAGAAAGCAACATCGACAATAGATATGTAGCACACAAAAGTATATTTCTGTGTTTTTCATCATCATTAGTCTATGACTAACTCTTTTGTAGCCAGTCGGCAGTTCGTTTATAGCCAGTAAGTATTGCCTAATCGAAAACTGTAGGCTTATTAGACCTGGAAAGATGCAGCAGCATAATTGAATCGATAGATAAGGCTTTACCAAGAATTGCAAATTTTGAATGCAAGTTATTTACTATCTATTGATATGCAAAGGCCGATCAAAGAATTATATATAAAGAGTAAGATGTGACAGATTGGTTATGAAAATTGCAATTCAGTTATTAATAGCACAATAGTTGTTAGAATTTAGCAGCGATATTTCAACAGAACTTTAAGCAAGTTCTTTTTGCAAATTTCTTTGCTCACAGTCTATTTTCAGAACAAATGAAGTCTTAACACACAACTAAGATCGACTTTTCAAGAATCATATCGACTTTACCCGATACATGGCTACACGCATGCTCACGGTTCATTGATTCCCTATCGGTGCTAGAATGTAACAAATGTTATTGTTGCGAATCATGCAAGTTTATGCAAAGCTATCATAGGTTGAACGCGATTTGTTAAATAGAATAGAAAAAATTGAGTTTCCTTTGGCAAAAAATTTCCTTGATATTGCCTTAGAGATGGATTTTAAACACATGTCTGGAGTAAATGTTTGGTAACGCTGTTTAGAAGGATCATTGGCCTTATTTACAAACAAACAGGTGGCTGATGGGCAAGTGCGAATCAATGCGTGGTAAACAAACCAATTCTTAAGTAAAGCGTGGTAAACAAAATCACTTTGAAGTGAGACTGCTAACATAAACATTCCCCTTTTATACCACATCGCATGCACGTTCTGGTCTGTCATACCCCAAATCAAGTTTTACAGTCATATTTTGCTCAATATTTCAGGTTGAATAAGTAAAGTTTTCGGATATCCACGAGTTGATCATCTGGCTACTGGTCGTTTTACAAAGCAAAGAGCACTGTATCATGGGTAAGAGATTATAAACGATCTTTAATTTTTCCTTTTTATTCGGCATAGGTCAAGATGTGTTGAACAATATTTCACGTAAGATTAATTGGAGAAGTTGCGAAGGTTTTAGCGACTTGGTGTAGCCGCTGCTTCTAATTATCTACATGGTTTATCAGTAACTGTATAAATTAACAATAATTGTTTTTGCTAAAGCAACGCTAAATTGGCACTTAACTCCGGACTATTACGCGCGCTAATTCTGAGTAAATATACACGTAATATACACGTCAGAAATCAATTATCTTAGTGATAAATCTGTACGCTGTCCTCTTCTTTCACTCTACTCTTTCTTATAGCTGATCGAAGATTAAAATAAACCTGGTTTCCATTCTGTTGACTTTATAGTGAACCCGGTTGCAGATTTAAATGGAATGGGGGCGCGTCTGGTTGGCTTTGTTTTGTACATGATTTGATCTTAAATTGAGCCAGAGGTGCACCCGATTGGCTTTATTTTATACCCTGTTGCAGTATGGTCTAGAGTTTTGCCAATGTTTTACACCAAAAACCTCTGAACTGCAGTCTTCTTTAAGATTTTTACTGCCTTTTTCAACATGAAAATTTTTTCCAGTGGATTGCTTGAAACCTACCTATAATTAAAAAGACAACTCGCCGTCAGTCGACCCTGCTTCTTTAAGAAATATGGTTTCTGTTATAGTTGTATCTCACTTGACGATTGATGATTATCGTTATTTTTTCCCTCTCCTATTAATATGGATCTAGTAAAGCTTCCAGTCCGTAGAAAAAGGAGCATTGCTTCCACTTGTCCTTTCATATTCTGCTGATCCGGAAGTCTCCTTTCCGGATGCCTCCTTTTTGGATGCCTCCTTTCCGGATGCTTCCGATCCGGATGCCTCCTTTCCGGATGCCTCCGTTTATCAAACTATGTTTACTTTTGGACTCAAAAGCCACCTTTCCTTATCCTGGTAGACTGGGATCTTCTCTTTTTTCAGAATAGGCAGCAAGTCATTTTTGAGAAGCAATCGTCTAACTGTTCTGGTCTCATTTTTTTCCAAAGTCATAAAGTCAATCAACACTTTCAAAAAATTTCGTAAGATCAGCAAGATTTTACGTAACATCTCAATGTCTGTTACCGTGAAGAAACCTTTTTTTAACGCTCCTTTGGAAACATTACATTGTCCATCTTGCATGCATTCCATTTCTGTACAATAACTTGCCCGTTTGAAATATCTCTAGGTCCAGAAAACATTACGTTTTCACGGCTGTGGGCCGGAACAAGGCTATCTAACCTTGAGGAAGGTTATGAAATAACGCAGTAGCTTTGAAGAAGGCCAATGCATATCTTGAACAGAGTTTGTAAAGTGAGAGAAATTTGTGATTGAACTTTTCTGTCTTCCAGTTTAAAATTCCATTTCTAGGAAACTTTTATTTGACTCAAGGAAAATCTTTGGGAAGGCAATTGGGACAAAATTTCATCTGGTGGAAGGTTATGGGGTTTTCTCAACTCAGAATATCTCATCACCCTTTCTCGAAAAAGGTACCTATTGATAGAGTGGTGCTTTTATCAATTCTTCTAACCTTTTTTATTGGAAGCTTAGTTGCAGGCTATTCGTTTTCTCAGTGAAACGACATTGCAGTGTACCTGTTCTGCATTGCACCTGTTCTGCATTGCACCTATTCTATAGCCCGTACCATGTTTATTTCTAACAGGAGTTCGTTATTATTATTATGCCTGAACCCCTCAAAGTAAACTTCCTAACAGTGGATTGTATAGCTAGCCAGCCATTGTAGTTGCAAAGTTACGAAAGAGCTACTAAACATAGATTACTAAACATAATCTTGTTTTGTCGTAAGTTTGTCGTAAATTAACTTGATATGGGCTTTCAATATGAATGGTTTCTACTTCTAGTAGCATAGAGTAGGAAAATCATATCATCGAACAGTGAAGGCATCAATGAGGTTGAGGAGGAGGGAGGGGCTCAATACCCCTTTTTGCCAAATTATAAACCACCTTATTGTTTTGACAATGGACAAAGCGCTTTGGAAGGACATGTCATTATAACAGTAATATTTTTCTAATAAAAGAAGGTCTATTAAGAAGGTTTGGCTATGAAATATTTAGAGTGCATATCAACTGTTTTCTAGTCTAAATATTTTCGTGGAAAGCTCAAAATGAAAAATGATTTACCTGATATCACTAATCCATCGCAGCCAATGGCGTAGCTTGACCTTTAAGACAAGGGGATGGAGGGTCACCAGTAGTAAAATTTACCGACGAAGAAGTAGATGAAGAGGAATTTAGGTGCTATTTTACCTACCGATAGCAATCTAAAATCAGCCATTGATCCTCTTCGTATGTAACAAATCACACAGGATTTGTATGCAGAGAGAACAGAAGATCACATTAGCGTAGGGACTCTACTTGCTTCCACCTGCTTGCAGCATTGTTTAATTATTTAGGGCGAGTGAATCGTTAAAGGTTGCTAGAAAATTAATTTGCCGTTTCTATTTTCATTGATTCAAAATTTGACCTAGCAGTTTTAATGACAGGGATTTGTTAAGGCTCATGTCAAACCAACACTGGAAATCATTTTAGGAGAATAACATTTCTCCTCAGTGACCTTCACGCAGAACGTTTATGATGAATAGGGATGTTTCAAGACAATAGCCTGCTTCTCGTCTAACAAACTGAAATTTCCCGGTATAAGCAAAATAATCCACGAACGCCAGCGAATGAGCTTCAGTCGTCGCCCAAAATGTGCTAAAGAGTAACAACTGATTGCAAAATGACCACAGTGAGAGCTACCTAATAATAAATATGAACGTGTATCGTCCCCAGCTCTACAAAAGTTGCAAAAACTTTGCAAAGACTACTGTTTACCGGCAGGTCATAAAGTGTTGGATGCCGTATAGGCAGAGCTGTACGCGCTTTTGGTGCATAGAACAGGACGGGGTCGGTTCTACTCCGAGTTTCACGCTTAATGCGATCATCGGGCAACTGTCTGAACAGTTGATCAAAACATGTCGACCGATAACTAAAGCGATTAAAATGGACTTCAAGAGTTTGAATAATTACTGCAACTTCGTGATTTAGCTCATGTACATTGTGAATAGGGCTTCCAGGAGACTTGAGAACAATCAACAAAAATAAAAAAGTCGGTCGGTTCACTGATTATTTTTTTTAGAATGTTTCGATTGTATATAAAATTTTTGAAAAATAAGATTGCTGTTAAATTAGGTTAATTAAACCTGTTCTCGACTTGTTCTTAAAAGATTTAATACTTTTGCGCAGTTTTCAATTATATAAATGGCTTACCTTCCCTTTATGCAACCCTCTTGCTTCCTGTGCTTTCACATGATTAGCCCATCTCTCCTAATAATATCTGGAGCAGACCTGTGAAGTTCAATGTGTCTAATTGCTATTTTCATTACTCTTCTTCACATCAATCGTGATTTGAACGGTAAGAGCTTCGCGAAGTTATCTATGAGAAAATGAGGGCTGACAAAGAATGCGTGCCAATAAAAGGGCTGATTTGGTGTTTGATGGCAACCCGCAATATAGTTTGCTAGCTTTTTCAGCTTGATCGAATGAGCCATAAACAACTATCGCTATATATATTATTCTGTTTATACTTGCTCACGTGCCTTTCTGCGTTTGCTAACAATCACCTGACAATTGTTTGGTTCTCCAAAGTCCGTTTCTCTATTTTTATTTGCTCGTTTCAATGATCTTTAATCGTTCATAGTTGGTATTAACCAAAGCTTAACCAAAAGATCAAGGCATTGGATAAAAAGCCCAAAATAATTTTGTTGGGAAGTCTTTTGGGTTTTTACCTCACGGTTCTGGACACGTTGTTGATATTTTCTAACAAATAAGGGTACTTGTGAATATGCGTATTTTTTAGTCAACCTGTGCCTACCCTTGAAGCTCATTTTCTAGGCTTTTGCTAGATGGTTTTTTGCTTGCTTTAAACTTTTATTAGTGGGGCAAGCCTTATAAACTTTATTTCACTGGCACGTATTCGGAAGTTGTGATGCTAATTTCTCTGCTAGCTATTCTGCTAGCTATGATGTTTCCTTTCGAATAAGGAAACTTTCAGTTGTGCTAGACAGTAGATGACACGCTGGCTTTGCGCATGACATTGGATTGGCCTCCAGTGTTACACCCGGTCAGTGTTATGTATGAAACTCAATTCAATTAACTTATGTTTTCTTGATGGATTGTGGTTAGGATTAAACCACCATAAGGTGTCTCAAAGTAATAGAGACCTATCTTTCATTGGTTCTTATACTACCACTGCCATCTAAGATCCAAGAAATCTAAGAAATACAAAAGTGATGCACTGTATTTTTTCATTCATTAATTTGTATCAGCGTAGCCAATGCTCCCTGTCTTTTTATAGAAACTCAATACATTTTCGCAAATAACTGTGCGGATAATAGATAATGAGGTAAAAATTTATCTGTTTACAAACATAAAATCATAATCATTGAGGTAAATCATAATAATTGATTAATTTGGCAAAATTAACAGATCACTCCCAATGCCGATGGATAACAATTATACACGCATTTAAATATTGCACCATCCACTTAGTACATAGGGTTTGCAGTAGTGGTATCTCTCAGGATGCTAATGTACAAACCTAGCAAAGGAAAAAGAAACGAACACCAAGAAAGACTAGGGAATGTACTTTTAAGATGTTGTCTACTTAAACAGCTTGTGAAAAAGGTAAAGCATATTCTATTCAACATGTAACCCGGTCATCTTGAAAGATTCAGATTCTAAAACTACCAATTTGAAGACATCTGTTAAAAGCGCCGTAAAAATATTTGTCACCTATCTGCTGCTAATGATAAGAACATACCTTCTATGTGGAGTAGAAACGTCTCTGTATGCATGATAGATTATAAAATGGGTGAAATAACAAAACAAAAGACATTGAGCAACAAACCTTAGGACGAGGCAAGCAAGCAGCATCCCAAGTCAGGAAAGTTAATATAACTTGTCCTGTTTGGCTTTTTTTGTATACTTTTTCTAAGAGAAAGATTTTACAGAGAATGATGGCAGTATCAGTCAAATGAAGTGAACTAAATTTGATAACACAATCTCTATGCTTGTAAGGGTTTCCAATAAATTTGTATACAATGACTCATCGAATCATCAAACACATGACATCAAGTTTGTGTCACCTAGTGGAATTATGTGGCAAAAGGTCAGGTTTTAATAGAATTAATTAGTTGAAAATAGTACGCAATGAAGGTGCTGCAAAACTGTTTTCCTTTAACACCCTAACTTTGATCTACCAATCGGTCTATATAGTTTTACTGTGATAGATTTTAAATTCTAAAATTATTTGTCGGTTGGATGTGAACCAAATGAATAAAAAAATGGATGAATTTATTTAAATGTTTTCAAATTGGTTTTGGAAGAGTGGATTTCTGTGAAGGAATAAGTTTGAAGTGGTATTGGCAGGGGGCTCGGTTAAGGCAAATCCTATGAAGAGATTTTTCGACGGTACGGCTCACTAAAAGAGCAAAAATTGTTTTTATCTTGTAGAAACGGAACGTGTCTCTCTTCGCTGATTTTGCAGCAACCTGATGTTGATAAAGTAAGGCTAGCTGTATCATAGGACGACCATTAAAATGCTGGTTCATATTTTCTATCAATTGGGAAGTCGGGATGACCCTTCATTATTTAAAATCAAGCTACAATTGGCAATGTGGAATTACCTTTTTTATGTAGAGATAAAATGTCTCTATTCTGGAATCTACTTAGTCAGTTTAGAAAACAATGAAAAGGTCATCAGTTGTATTTATATTAATTTCTAGGTCGATACCATATGAGCTACTAATTAGTTTTTGTGAATATGAAATACGTTTGCTGTTTATGCGGAATATGATAATCAGTTCTAAAGAGAACAGGTTTCCGCAACGGTCCTCGTGGGACGGACAATAAAATTGAAAAGATGTACTCCTGTACAGAATTTGCTTTCTTATGCTTTTAATTAAATTACAATTTTCCTGATTAAAGCAGATTAAATGAAAAGTGCTAAATATGATTAATGTGATACAATAAATGAAGGTAATACGAAAAATCTTGTAGTTGTACAATTACATAAATGAAACAGTTTAAGAGCCCTTTATAAATCCCACATTCTTGACATAATCTGCAATCCGGTATTCGTGTTTTTCTAATTTCACTTTCTTTTTAAAGGCTTGTAATTTTTAAGTTTTGTATCATTCGGCAATTTATCCCATATTTTCTGTCCCTTGAATCTGGTTGTATCAGTTTCATGTTCGGCTGTTCTTCCTGTTGGTAACTGTAAATTTATCTTGCCTCTTAACTCCCATAACCGAAAATTCCCCTTTCTCATTCAATCCGCGTTTGTAGCTCATCTAGTTGTACATGTACGGTCAATAATGTCACATTCCATTTTTTGAAACTATAGAGACACCAACAACATTCCTTGCACCATTCCCAAGGAACATTTTGCATATACCTCGGTTGGATCCACAGAAAGATTTCATTCTTCAAGCGAATTATGACTCGTGATTCGCATCAAGTAAAAGGATCCCCACCGCCCCCCCCCCAATTCGCTTCCTTGCAAAGCTACTGGAAATGCATAGCGAAGTCAAACCAACCTGTTAGAGCAATTAGATAGAAAATTTCTAAAAGAGATAAGTCAACGGAAAAGAAACAAAGGCAACATTGTATTGCGTTTCAGGCACCTATAGCTGCACCATGACATTTTATAAGGTGCGCGGGCAGCTAAGTTTAAAATTTCTATATCAAATCAGTGAAGAATCCTGGGTCAAGTAAGATTGATTTCATAGAATCAATGGGTCATGACAAATACATCTAACCATCTTTTTGAATTAATAAGCCTTTCCGATACAGCACGTCAACAACAGAGGAACTACATTTAAATCGATGAGGACATTTCATTGACAAACATTTAAAATAAGCCTTTAACTGAAGTAGTTGTACGTCTTGACCGACTGTTTAATAGGATGCGCGATGAGCCACCGGTAAATCTGCCTGCAGCTATAGTTTGAGGGTAATAAGCGTGGCAGCCGATCAATCATGCGATTGAGGGTCGTTTGTCAGCGCGTATCTAGTCTTGACCCGTGAAAAAGATTCGTGCAGTCAGGGCAGCTAGCTATGAGAAGCTTCCCTTATCGTTAATCTCTTACACTTCAAAATCATTTATATTTGTAACAGTGTGACCTCTTTGAAGCATTGTTCTATATGATATTGGTTTTTTGCATTGAGGAATCTGGTAAAGGGTGAGCATTTTAGATGTGTATTTAAGCTACAGCTTTGCAATGTTTCCATTCTGTCTGGCGCTGCGTCCTACAGATTCAGATTTTGCATTTGACCGTGTAGTTGCTTATCTGGTTGATTACGTTGTCTCGTATCGTACCTTTTGTTACCAAGACTGAACCCGTCAAGCAATTACCAATGCTTTGCCAGTCGAGTAGTTTTAGGATACGGTTGTGTTACATGCAATGCATTTTGCATCGCACGCAAGTCTATCTACAACTGCAGCTTCTCGCCCAGTCTTCGCATATGGCCAGTAGAAAACATCAGCTACCAGCCTCCCTGCATAAGCTGGTTTCAGTTGATTTTTTTATCAAATCTCATTGCATCTATCATTCACTTCCTTTTTGGATTGTATCTAACAAATTTCGATTTTCGAGTGCATTGCCATCAGCAGGACATATTGTATTCATGTTTTCATATTTTGCATTAGTATTTTTTTAAACTACAATCTTCACTTGATTACAATTTCGACTTATTCACAGAGATCCAATTATCTTTAAGCCATTATGGCGTTAAGACTATCGGAATCATGTTGTTTTCCAAAGGTTTGTCTTCAGTCTGTTCCGCTCTACATTTTTGTCGATGACTACGCAGCAAGATTGATTCCAGAGCATTGCATCAGTAGTCCACCATTAGAGAATTTTCTACTATCCTTAAATCTATCTCCGTTTTTTTGTGCTCAGTTCCAAATGTTTTCAAGAGAAGAACATCCTTGAAACATCCTTTGACTGCAAACTGTTTTCTAAGTAGGCAAAATGAACCATTTGTCAAATGCAAATTCAACAAGATATAAAATATCAAGAGAGAAGCCTACTAAGCTTCTTGCCACGTTACCATCATAACAATTGAGAACATGGCCACACCGTTTCATCCTAGCTTCTTTTTATTTTTCGTGAAGTTGTTCTGCCGTCACGACTGCTTTTCTTTCCCCAGTTAGCTAATTAATTTGCTATTTGTTGTAAACTCTTTGGCTCTTTATTTTGCAGAGTTTTCCAACCGAAGAAGAGGCGTACACCAGTATTCGATGGCTGGTGTCCCCCCAATTGGCGACATCTCACCGACACATCCAAGTCCCCGTGGAGCGCAAGAGCCAAGAAAAATGGATGGCAACATCAGTAGCAACAATAACAACAACACTGGGGTGCTATGCTTGAATAAATTTAAGCCATTGCCTCCCATCTCAAACATTCCTGGCCTAAATCCGGATTCTGAAGTTATTGCAGCGGCCGAAAAGAAGGTGTTTCGTACCTTCAAAGTTCTGGAAACCGATTCTGCGTACGTCAAACTAGCAAAGCAAGGAGGCAGAAAGAACCTATTGGAATACAAAGAATTTAACAACGAGTATTTGAGAAAGAAAGAAAGCCAAGTGGCAACAAAGCGTAAAGATGCAGTCAAAGGAGAAAACAATAACAAGACTAAAATTGGCAATGGGAACAAAACAATTGAAGAAAGCAACAACAACAATAACAACAACAACAATGATATTGAGTGGAGCAGTGGCAACAACAATAAAGAAAATAATAACAACAACAACAACAGTAACAACAACAATGTTATCAAGAAAAAGGCATTTACAGTCCTGAAGAAAAAAGGCGAATTCAAAGAGCGCCCAGACATCCTTCCAGTTGACCAAACTGAAATCCTGAAGCACCTGAACGCACCAAAACGTCCGATACTGCCAAAGATAAAGCATTATCCCAGGCTTGCAGCTCGATTCGTCAAAGTGGGAGGGCGCTGATTGATGTCACAATAAGACTGTTATGTTGCATTTTCACAGATGATAGGTATTTCGTATATTTGCGAACAGGAATTGATTTAGAATATAGATATTGCTTATGTTTGAAAGATTTAAATTTCATTATTTGTATAGATATTGCTGATCTTTGCTGAGAGTGTTAGCAATTTAAATAGGGCTTTGAAAATTCAATTCCGCATCGTGGATGTTTCCAGGCAATTTTGAAGAACTGCAAAAACAGCGTATATCCATCTAAGCTTGGAATTTGCGTACCCTGTGGTCTGACGCATAAAGATTACATAAGACATGGGTTACGTCAAAACATATGGCGATGTTACATGTATTTCTGCCGACGCGCACACACATTTTTATCATTTTCACATTTTTTGGGGTTCTGAAACTCGATAACTGTTTGAGCAACTCATCGTCATGCGTCTGCTATTAATAATTATCCATTGTGATCAATATTTATACGTAAAACGATCGCATAAAAGATGCCTTATTTGCTAAAACTGTTTCTTAACATGGTTTTTAGAAAAACAGCCGTTTCCTACGCAAATGGTTTGTTAGCTTAGCCTCTGTGAGTGCTAATTGTTCTTTGATCAGCCATCAAAAGGGCATCAAGATGAATCAGCTTAAAGTTTTGCGTTCAATCCTCTAACAGATCTCGCAAACTTATTCCAAGTTTTATCGAAGCAACTTTTGTCTGTAGTGTGATGATATCTTCCAAAAAAGAATTTACAGAATACAATAACATCATTAACGAATTTTCATGCATGACATAGCAAAAGCTTTATCAATGTAGGCAGAATATTGATCACAGAAAATTTGTGTACAATATTTTACCGAGGGCTTGCTTGAATTTATTAATATCCCCTTAACAGTGATGCATTTGTCTCTAAGTAGCAAAGGAGCTGCTTCATTTATTCGTAAGAACTATCGAAAGTAAGGAATTATTTATGTATGTTGTAAAAATGTATTAAATTTTGTTTTGGTTTTTTCTTAGCTTCTCTGTTACTTTGTAAATAAAGTGGAGGAATTGTAAGGTTACCCTGTACAGGCATCAGAAGATTGAGTAAAGTGCAGATTAATTAAAAATGCTGTTGATATTTGATTTGATATCAAGAATTATCAGAAATGGTCTATCGAAGTTTCTCAACGATTTTATCAGAATTTGTAAAACACAAACATACATGGTGCTATTCATCTCCGCTATGGTGAAGATGTTGGTAAATTACATTTTAATATTGAACAAACCGTAGCCAATATCAATGCCACAGTTTAATGTGGATTTTGCTAGTCACTTATTCGTGGCTGTTCTGTTACTAGTAACTGGCTGGCAAAAACATCATACTTAAAGGTGTTATTTCAGGGATAAGCATGCAATGACAATAAAAGGCATAATGGTAGAAATAAATCACTCTTCGGGCGCTCACGTTCCCCCTCAAAAATCGTGTTACCAGAAATGCAAATATGAAAATACAATCACATCTTTTCCATATCCTTACCGTACTATAACCTCTAGAGAACATTTCAGCATGATTTGAGATGCCTTTAAGGTTTCAAGTGATGCAGATTAATTTGTGGTTTCTGTACTCATACAAATTAAACAGAAAGTTGAAACCTCAGGTGACAGGGCTTTCAAGGGAATAAAATATCAATAGGACAATGCTTGGAGGTGATTTTAGGAGTGTAGAAAACAGAGAAGATATTCATTTGAAAGCTGTCTGCTGGTGTTGTTGAAAGAGAGAGCATCACTGCTAGAAATGATAACTGACACAGCAACTTCTATCGAAGAAAAAGGTACGTGTAACACTGTTAAAGAAAATGATATATTTTAATCTTATTGATCGAAACAGACTTCAAGAAGCCTTTCGACTGCCTTGTGAGACAAAGAGCGCCTACTTTGGCTTGAATTCACTTGGACATACGCAAATTAGGCTTTTTAAGAAAACATAGTTTGTCCTTTGTAAATCGTCGATATTCACTCCAATCAAAACGTGTACAACGGTTAAGAATCAACATTATCACTTGTGACGTGTATGGAGCTAACTAGAGGTCACATTTCAGTGACAACTTTTGATAAAACGCGCTGTTGAAAGGAGAACTGCCAGGGATGAGTTACACCCACAAATTGTTAATCAGAACATAACATAGACATTGAATTCGATTTCTCTTCTATTTTTCGAACTTTAACCCTTTAAGGATTGCTTAAATATACCAAGGGCCGTAAATCCCGGGGAGACGCGGGAGACTAGACCCCCCAAAAAAAATCTGGAGCAAAACGATTTTTTTTAGAAATCATCGTCATTTTCTTTCAAAGAAAGGAATCCCTGGTAACTGGGTTAGAACCAGAGTAAGTTTTTCTGTGTTATTGCCATAAACCTCAGCCTTTTTGTCATGGTGTCAAGCAGAAGTTGGCTATTGTTGATGGCTGTTATTTATGCATGCAGATTGGTGTCGAATCAGTGACGATGCCCATGAGGGGGGACTTAGTCCCAAATATCTTATCCACCGGTCATCCCTTGAATAAATCTGAAAAAACTTTGTAAGAAAAGAATCGTTTAAGTTGCCATAATTCTCGACAAACCCACATTACACATATTTTCAGTACACGCCGTTTTATGAAAATCCTAACTCAAAACCTAGGTCCTAAAGTTCCTAATTTCTGAACCTCTATTAGTCGAATTGCGGTACCAAGGCCTCCATAATAGCTCCTTAATTTTAACTGCACATTTAGTGGCATGATAATAGCATAGACACACAAAATAAACTAATTGCTTTTAACTGTAGCTAAGAACAAGGCCAAGAGGCAAAAGAAGTACTTTTGCTTTTAAGAAAGAAGCGATGACTACACTTTTTATTACTAGAATGCAATAATTTTTGCTCAGCTTCTATTCTTTTAAGCCCGAATATTATTTTGTTTTGAGCCCGAATATGTTCTTAGATACATCCTTATTTTCTTCGAATCCGATACGGTATTAGGAAAAAATTGCTTGCTCTTGAATAAAAACACCTTTTCTTTCTTTCCCCAACGTCTGTCACTAGAGTTTAAGCATGACTCTTCCCCTCCCCAATTTCTCCCAGAAACAATGATCAGTGTTCTTCTGAGAAACGTCAATTTTTCTATCTTGAAGTATTGTTAAACTTCTGATAGTCTGAGAGATGCTTTTTAGCTATTTAGAGGGCATGATTAAAAAATTTTCTTCCGCGTCAGCCTCAACCAGTGGGTCCTCCTACGTCACTAAGCGTGATTCTCAGCCCCCCAGGTTCAATTTCTTCAAGCTGTCTCTGAAAAATGTTAACAACTCAATTATATTTTTATTTCATTCTAATAAGTCAACGTGCCACGAAATATCTGCAAATACCTTCTATAGAGCTGAAAAGCCTTACCAAATCCTAAATCCTTTTTGTTTGTTTTTTAAGGCGTTTGCCCCTCAAACTTTTTTGTTTGTTTTTCAAGTCGTTTGCCCCCCCCCCCAATTGACATGGTAGATTTACGACCCTGAATCTACCGAATGAGTCACCGAAGGTACCAAGCAGAATAAATGTGATTTTTGAATATTTGGAATAATTGATCTTTCCATGTCCTATGAAAACAACAGTAAACAGCTACAATGATATGATGAACAATAATGTTCTAAGTAAAATAATTAAAATGCCAGATAGAACATATATGAGATACAATGTCAGCCATTGTTCATTACTTATTGGTCCTCGAAAGGTAACTGTAATTATGCGATTAGAAAGTTGAAGGCTTGCAATAGATGGATACTAACAAATGGTAAGATGTTAGTGACTTTCAAACAGACCATTCTTACTAATGCAAGACGATAAAAATGTTAGTTCCCAAGCATATAAGTTTGAAGGGATCCAAGAGCCTAAAACAGGGTTGAAGCCGTTTAAACTCTCTCTTTTTTATTTGCATTCACTATTTGCTTTTGATTAAAAAAAGCGTTTTAAGTGCGATTGATTCTATAAACTGTAAGCTAAATTAATGTTATTTCGTCTAAGTATATTTTGTATAAGGGTCCCAAATGATCCATAAACACACAGTGTCGAAGCTAATCAAGAACAGAAGGTCCTGCCCAAAGGGGGTCTGGGGAAAAATTGCCTGAAGCCATGCCCTAAATACCCTAGGAAAAAGAGGAAACAACCCTTTTGGATATGTTTAAATGAAGATTACGGTGAAACATTTGAAAATGACTTCCTTTGCTCTCTGCAGTCTGAGAGAAAACTATATAGGAAGAGTAGATAGGACCAACAGAACGACTCTAAACAATTCGATTTCTACAAGTACCACTCGTCTTAAAACGATTGATTCTTGTATAAATCAAGTGACGACAGTGTAGGCCTTTCCTGCCCGAAGCTTCTAGCAGCAAAAACTTCAGCAGCAGAATCATAATGTCTTCGTTAAAGTTAGTTTGATCCATGATATCAAAAAAGTTATTTTTCCTAAGGAAAGCTTGACTATGGCCCGAGAGAATATTCTTTGTGACCACGGCGCAGAAAATTAACACATTATACAGAAACAAAGAGCTCCAAAAGTTTAGGTCCTGCCTTCATGAATGAGCAAGACCTGAGGTCCTGCCATTTCTGAAGGGCAGAAGTGCCATTGTTTTCTTCTATTGTGAGGCAGGACAAAAAACAGGGCTACGAGGCGTTTGCCCATTGTTTGGCAGGGCCGAACATAGAGTTTAGTCCTGCCTACGAGTATTGGGCAGGACTGACCACAGGGCTAAATATGCGACGATATCAACTTACGAACTGGATACTCAAAAATTCCATTCCAGTCACCCTGTGTCTCAAAATTGAAAAAGGGCACAACCACGAAGTAAAAATATAGAATAAGACAAGAAATACCTATGAATCGGGCATAAAATAATTTCCTAAAGTGAACCAATTTTTTTTATTTCAGACATTGTTAATTTTTTGGAAATTTGTGGACCTTTGGCTTCGCCACTGTAGCACAACCACATGGGGGGGGGGGGGGGGTGTTGTGGACTATAAATTTACCTGATTAAAAAAATTATTGCCTGAAATTTTTTAACTGCTGTCACAAACCGCTGCTATACATTTTGTCAATCTAACTCTGTATGATAATAATGGACTTTCCTAATAGACTTGTCAAATCTCTATATGGGGACGGGCAATGGATATAGTTACTACCTGAAGTGGCACCATGGTTGCCGCCGAAGGAGGAGAAAATTTTCGAATTTTGATGCTTCCAGTTCACTGGAAAATGCACTCTTTTAAGCAAATTTCACTAAAGCAATCCTCCTAATCCTATTGAAAATTGTTGTTTTTTTTGCAAAAAATTTTTACAGCAGATAAAAACACCAATTTCCCCGTGGTCTTGAAAAATACCAGATTGTCAGCTACTTCTAAATTTAGATCCCTCTCTCCATCTTAGCATGCCTTTTGAATGTTAAGAAAAATCTGGAGCTCATAGTGAATTGCAGTTGATGCTTCTACTGAGAAACTTTAGGAGAAATGGGCACAAGGCATTATTTTACCTAAAAAGGGTCTGGATTTTTAGATTTATTGCCAACAAGCAATCTTCAAATCTTTAAATCATTAGTTTGTTTACCTTCATTCATATCAAGGAAAATCATATTTAACCAACGGAGAAACTGCCTTTGCTTGATCCTTTATTGATTTTATGACATGAAGGTCTCTGAAATACCTAAAGCGTTTCTTCCACCTAGCGGATTTTACCTGAAATTTCCTGTTGAGATACTATTGGGGGTGTGTGACACCCCCCACACCCCCCCCCCCCGGCTGCGACGCCCCTGGTAAACTGAAGTTGACGTTAGCATTATTATGATTTTTGAAAAGAAGCTTTCAAGCTTTTTAGGATTTTTGATCTTGAAAAAACCGTCCAAATGTGAACATAAAGCTATATCGTATGCATAAAATTCTTGTTATAAAGCTTTGCTTTTGAAACCTGCAAATTCTTACTCACCAGAAATACAATTTTCAACTGCGAAAATCATCTGCAAAGCTTGTGACATGATCATATCCAACACTTAAAAGGAAGCAGTTCAACTCATTCGCATTAAAAAGGGTTGTGACATGCATCAATTTCCCAGCAAACAACGACATATCTATGATGGAAAAATATCACGATCTAATTTTGCAGATTATTAGAATGTAATTATACCTCAACTTTACAAAGCTACTTAGCTCATTCTTATGTTTATTTTCTATTCTTAAACCATGTTCCATGGCTTTTTTGCCTCAATGCCTACCTTTGCAAGACCTTTCCTATTTTCATGTCACACTAACACCAGAATTAACTATAAAAGAAATCGTATGAACATTGCCGTCGTTTTTTCTTGGGTCTAAATCAATGTTGTAGATAGATGCATTTTCCTGCTATTCTTTGAACGTCATATTTTCAAAACTTTTCTTATCCTTCACTGAACCCTTTCTCTGCCTCAGGCGCGCAACCAGAAATTTCAGAGGGCAGGGGTCCAAGACACAAAAAGGGCACTAATTAAACTTCAGAAAAGGTCCACCGGGGCATTTGTTTAGGTACACCGAAAATATGAGCAGTTAGTAAATCTGCAAATATTGTACGCCAGACAAGGGAAACTGATCAATAGAGACAAGTTGTGGTGTACGGTTTATTTTGTGGTGAGGTGTGATGAAGTTTAGGAGGCCCGAAGGAGGGGGGAAATGGAAAAAACAATGCCTCTTGCGAGCGAAGCGAGCAAAAATTTTGCCACTACACCCTTGCAAATAGCTTAAATTCACTAATTCGTTTAAGATGTTTTACTTTTTAATTGTAATTTTGTTACTTTTAATAAATTCCATTTAAAAACGGAATTCATTGCTTTGTGAGGCTCCCTAGACCTCGAGGCCCTAGGGCAATTTGCCCCTTTGTCCCCCTCTCGGCGACCCTGCTGTCATCTCCTTTTCCCAGCGCCAGCTCACTTTTGAATAGCAACCCATCATCTTCCATATCCGAAGACATTTTGCGCTTTAAAATATTATTATTGAATTCTTTGCTTCGCACTACAGATTGGAGGAGGTTGAACTGTTCCACGAGCCTTGCCTTCAGCTGGTTTCTGTCTCCAAGTCTTGCCTTCAGCTGATTTGTAATACTGACAAGGAACGGAACAGCTGAACATCAACTTTTTGTGCCATATTTACTGCTTGCTAATACCAGTCCGAAAATATTTCTCTGCATTCGCTCGTTTCATGCAAAGGTCTTCTATGACCCTGTCAACTATGTGACAGGCTTGAAAAATGTCTTGGTTTTTATTCTTGTAACTTTTTACCAGAGGTCGTAGAGGCTCTATCCCGTTCAAAATCTTGTGCCTTTATTTTGGTTTTTGAGTCGCAGAACCATTCTTCTTCAAAGCCAGTGCGTAGCGCATCATAAAACACGCTGTAGAGTTGGGGCTTGAAGATAGACTCTATTACTGCAACATGATGACGTTCGACCCAACAAGTACGTGAAAGTTTGACTAAATCATTTATCTGTATTCCTGCGAGGTCCATTACATCTCCGGAGTGTGTCATTTACTGTATGACCAACCATTTTAGCGTAATAGTTAAAATATTCAAGCAATTTTCCAGGAAAAAGGGCACTTTTCCCCTTTTGAGAAAAAGGGCAGGGGTCTGGACCCCCAGGACCCCCCCCCCGTAGTTGCGCGCCTGTGCCTAGACCCTTTAATATCCCCCGCCACAAAAATATTCCTGGTTACCGTTGTTAAGCAATCAATTTATACATACACTAATTTCATACTTGAATAGCCAGTTTTTTACTAAGAATTCGTAGTTGAAAGAGGAGAACCTTATTAAGAAATTCTCTATCCTAACCTGTCGTTAAATTTTTTTCGCTACAACCTCCCGCTTAAATTCTTTCGACGCACCACTGCTGGTCACCACAAGGTAATCGATGCATGAACAAAATATACTTCTAGCAACATAACTGGGAATAAAGAAGCAACATCTAGTGCTTTGGACAAAAAACCAACAATGCATGTTGTTTTCTTAAAGGATCTATAAAAGCTTTTAAAGTAGATAAATTTGCAGTTAAGGTGAATGAAACAATAACAAGAAACCGAATAACTTCAAAAGGAACTCAAAAGGTCTGTTACAGGCTTCTTACGTCTAAGCGTATAGTGCGTATGTACATAAAAGACAATTCATGCAAGAATGCAACACTTAGCGGAGTCTCTCAATACCGGCTTTCAGCTTGTCATGTTTGTTGCCTAAGGCCTGTTAGGAAACAATCTCAAAACCTGTCAATCTGCAAAAAGACCCCCAGATTATTAGTTGGATGATTAAATTGCAATAAATAATTGTTTGAAAACGATTCTTGTCAGTTTAAAAGAAAAGACGGAGATGGATACAGAGAAGGAGCTTCCAAGGATTCCTTCGTTAACCATAAGGGTCTCAGAACTCTACCTATAGTCCTAATGTAAGGAAATGATCATATTTCATTATTGTTTATATCGCTACCTGACCCCGAGAGCGGAAAATAAAAAATAAACGTGTTTTATTTCAATTTGCTTGCGATTTTGAACAGATTAGAATAACAGATGCCAAAACCTGCACGAAGAAACGGCTGTGTAATGTAACCATGGCAACTGTTTAACCTATCATGCAATGTGTTTGTTCGAAAACAGGTGCAGCTAAAATGAGATTGCATAGTTGATTCCTAAAACAAAGTGAGCACACAAAAGCCAAACAAAATAAGAATATTAATGAAGAGATAAATGGTAGCTCAACGATAAATCGTTATATCATTTTATTCATGCAACTCTTGCCATCCTTTATGGTCATGTCATCGTCACAGCAATTTGATTTTATGTCTTCGTTTCTTCATTATTTTTATGCATGGTGCAGCCCTAGCTCGTAGTTTTTTATGTGTCTTCGATTAGAAGGGGGAGCCTTTCTTCTTACAAAAAGAAACTAGCATCTTGTTGGTCGTCTAATTGCCTCCCTTGCACTCCAGCTTGTATGGCCGCAAAATCCCGTAGCTTGTATGTTAAAACAGGCCCTGATTCGCGTATAAAAGGGAATCAGAGATGTTTAATAAATTATTGTACGTATATGCTCAGCAGGATCGAAAGAAGCATGATCGGAAGAAGTTTTTAGTCCCATTCTTTCTATCTGATTGGCCTATCTTTGTGTATTTTCATAAAAAAGCTATGTAAAATTGGTAAAGATATCAAAAAGCCGGTGTCTTTGGTTTGATAATCTATTTGATTTGTTTAAAACTCAATAGGTTTGATTTGAAATTCCATCAACGTACGCTTTTTCACTTTGCTTTTATAAAAGAAATAAAATGATGTTCACTTGCCATCTGTTATGGTACGGTTCTGCGGAGGAGTAATTAGTCCAAGCATTACAAGTCAATGAAAAGATTTGAGGACACCTGTTTCGTGTACTTCGGTGTTGGTTGGCCTATTTGAATACAAACAGGATAGAAACTAAAGAGGTCTATTGTCGCTATTCAACTTGCTGGCCGCAAAATCCCGAAAGGCCGCTGCGTGAAAGTCGGCCTGCGTTCGTGTGCTGTTTTTATGAGACAAAGGCCGGATGAATAATGCAAAGCAGACAGTGAGGCTCAGTACACAAGCACATTCCTTATAACAGGTGTTCGTTCGACAACGACGTCCCTTGTATCAAGGTAAATGTGTAATGACTATTAGCAGATTCTAGATTCTGAGTAAGTTTATGAAAGTCTGGTTCTTAAAAAGAGGGACATCCAAATCTCAAGCGTTGATGAATGACGCAATTATCACACAGTGTCGGAAACTTTCAAGCGTGGCGTATAACTGATCAAAGCAGCTAAAGAGTTCAATTGGCGAAAGTTGATTGTTAAGAAAGTAGTCATCGTTCCAACTCCTAGACGAGAGCATTGACCAATTCCTCGAATTAAAAGAACAACGGGAATGCCATCTACTGGACTAGCAGCTCACTGGCTTATCATAAATTCAAAAGAGTGCCGAAGACGAAACTGTTTTTACTTTGACTTGAAGGAAAAATTGACCTTTCTCGATAAGTGTGATTTAATAAAAGCGGTCGTATAAGTAAATGCACCCGGTTCTATGGCCGATGAAGGATTGTCTGGTCAGATTGCAGCGATACAACAGAGCACCTTCTTGTATATATCAGAAAATAAGTTTTTTCTCTCGCAAGGTTTGACGGAGAGGGAACTTGCTAATAATACATTCTTATAAGAATTATCTCTGGATACCTGCAACTGTTGATAACTTCAATATGCATTTTGCCAAGAGTTGGCCAAGTGTTAGCAAGCATGTCCGAAATACATTGCTTTTGACTTTTTGAGTTTACCTTGAACTGGAACTCATTGATATCAAAAATTGAATTATCTTGGTAAGGGATTTGCAGGTGCATCGCTGTTTCTTAAAGGATAAAAAGACACTGAAGGAAAATGAAGCACTGTTCTGAAAGGGTAAATAGTGAAACATTCGTGGAAGAATTCGTTGGAAACAGACGGCTTTACGACGGAACTGAAAATCAGGTAGAAGAAGAAGGGAGCATTTTCGACAAGTCCGGAGAAGAGAGTAACGCGCTGAAGTCAAAAACAAACTCCGGAAAGAAGTCACATAAAGACCAATGTCTAGACAGAGAAAACTGCCTTTCAGCAGTCAAGCGTGCAAGGATTTCAAAAAGAAAAGTTAACGGTAAAAAGGGGATAAAGTTGCCCCACAAACAAAGAAAATATCTTGCCAAGCTTCAAGAAGCGTTCGAAACGAAGAAAGAAGTTCCGCTAGACGATGAAGAAAGCAAGGAGAAGAACTTCAAACACACAAGTAGTCCTGAAGTAGTCCTCAATCCATCTTGTAATAAAGAATTAATTGTTGATCATATGTGGAAAGAAACAGCTTCGCGGCTGGAAGATAAAGCAAATTCAGGAATCAATAGTACAAAGCAGGTTTTAAATGACAGTAAAAAGGCATCAAATAACGTCCACATGCAGAGACGGATACTCGCAAATGCGCGAGAGAGATCGCGGGTACACAAATTAGGAGAAGCATTCAATATGCTGCGCAGGGTTATTCCAAGCTATACTGCAGATCAAAAGCTTTCGAAGTTGTCTATTCTCAAAATCGCAATCAACTATATATCAGCACTTGGAAGCCTCCTTGATTACGATACATCAACACATGCGAAACAGCTTTTTGAATCGAGTGTTAATGAGTGCACATATGCTTTGCAGTCGGAATTTGGCAGGGCCAAGGGTGTGAAAGGAGCAAGAAAAACGAAAACACAAGATACAGACAGCAATAAATAGTGAATAGCATACGTTCAACTTTAAAATTGCTTACCTTGGGGGTATTTGTTTTTTCGAGACAGAAATAATGGATTCTGATAACAGAAATTTTATCTAGCTAACTAGCTTCTGGAAGATATGGAGCGCCCAAAAGTATTTAAAAACAATGCAGCATTCGCAAATTTTAAATTGTGCCTTCAAATTATAATAGGAGAAAATATGAGTGACACGACCAGGGCAGGATAAGGGAAGTTTATTTTTAAACCTTGTTCTGCATTCATTTCATATTATTCATTTTCGTTTGATTTTCACTAAGAATTCATTCAACAGATAACTAAAATGCCCACTTTCTTTTTAAGATACAAAACCTTATTACCAATGGATATTTGTAGCAAAGGACTGCATCAACAGCATTTTGAACATAGTTATAAATTAATTGTGGTATAATATCGACATTTAAATAGATAAAGACGCGTCCAATTAAGTTCGTTCTAGTTAATAGAGTGTTGATAAGACTCGGTAATGCTTTTTTTACTGTTTGCTTCAAAAGAGCACAGTTTGTAAGAACATCGGCGCTCGATTTGCCAGAAAAAAAAGAACATACCTGGTCCCAGATAAAAGATCGGAAGAAAAAACAATATGTGCTTGACATTTAGCTCGTGTTAACAAAACAAAGCAGATTTTGTCACCTGATCAACCATACTGCTGAAAATGTCATGCAAAACTGTTATTTAGTAAAGAAAAAATTTATAGTATGTAGTTATAGAGTTCAATGTTGAAATAAAAAAAAATTTAGAAAATGCCAGCCTCAAATTATCCAAAAAAATACGAACATTGAGCCGTGGCAAAAATTATCTTGTTCTTATAAAAAGTATTCAGATAAAAATACAATTGTTAATTTACGTTTATCTGAAGAGGAAAAGGTGTAGGTTATCTGAGAATGAAAATATGAAAATTAGATCATCAGGCCTATATAACCGAATCTGTCCTGGAATTGACGATAGAGCAAAGAGATCAGTTAGTACTCGAGCACTGGTCGTTACATCTACACAGCAGACCAATTAAGTGTATCACCAGGATGCTACCTAAGTTTTTCTGCGAAGTGTTCGTTGAGATGGATGCAATTCTTCAGTTTTACTCTCAGATGTAAGGGAGAATAACGTTTTCTATTAAATAATCTAAATTGACAAAGAGATCAGCATCTGATCAAAAATAGCTTCCTTACAATAGATACCGTAGAAGAAGAACGCGCTTAAATATCTCATCTCCAAAGGTACACAGGCCTAAACTTTCCCAACTTTGGATTATTGAAAAAAAAGTAATGAAGATCAAAAGAGCTCTCAAAACGTTAAATTTTAAATCACACGCTTTTAAAGTAAATGGAGTGTCAGCCAGTCAAGCAATTTCATACAGTTTACGAGCCCGTGCAAAGCAAAAATGTTAAGTATGTTCTCCTTTATCCATTTTCTTTTTCGCCTCAAAATGTTCTCAATATGAAATATGTTTTTATTGAAAGTTACAACAATAGTCAGCTTTAGTGGCGCTCTTAAAGTTTTAGTTAATTTAGTTATAGTTATAGTTAAAGCTTTAGTTAATTTACGACAAACAATTTAGTGGCGTTCTTAAAATCGTGGCTTTTTATAGCGTTTTTAGTCTCTTTTGCATATTTCATAAAGCCAAGCCCGACAAAGCGATTGATAAGTAGTGGATGCATGGTCGCAAGCTGCAATCATTCCCAGGTGGTGGAGCCTTGATTCTTACTTACCAACATCAATAGACACAAGCCAATTTGAAAATACATGAGTTTTTTTTAATTAAAATAATTTTTTCAAGGAAGAGATGCTTTCGTCTCATTCAGATTGCGAAGAACGTGCAGGGCTGTTAATTGTAATTTTCTAACTATCAATTCGTTTAAAGGCACATTCAATGTTAATAGGAAAGAAGAATCTGATTATATCAATGATCCTAGAGAGAAATCCACGATAATCCCAGTTTATCGTCTGAATGACTATAATTTCGTTCATGATGTTATCTCTATCCTTGCAGAGTCATCCACGTAAATCCATGTTTAATTATCAACATGAATGTACTTTCCAATTAAACCGAGAATATGTTTTTTGCTTCTACCAGTGTACAGGTGTCTTTCTGCCCACTCTTAAATCTGTTATTGAGAATATGAAGAGTTTGCTAATCGTATAAAGATATTAACTTTGAAGGTATCCCTTCACTCCTAACAGTGTTTTTGCATACAGCAATTTGCTTATGCAAAGCTTTGACATTACAAGTGATTTTTATTCTTGACGAACATCTGGCAAGCCATGATCTATGAATTATAAAAGCGTGAATTAGAGCTCTACATGGGCAAAATTTGAGTGGCCGAGGTTTTCATTGCATGAAAATGTGTTTTAGGCAGGTACCAGTATTTTTCAACTTTTGAGGCATGTCTTTTAAAACTTAATTAATTTTTTTAAATCCGCCTTTATGAATGTAATAATTTTCCGTCGTGTCGTAAATAGGAACTTGTTGATGCATCGATGCAGAGACGCCTGCACAAGATTAAGGCAGGTGCGGCAGTGTTGGTGTTGAGGGCAAGTAGTAGAATTTTTTCCACTGCTCCATAATTGATTATTTGTTAGGGATGGCAGGGGAGAGGGTGGTGCAAAATAAAACATGGCATGGTTCTGTTTCACCATAGTCATAAGAAAAGAGACTATGGTTCCACCTATACAGCTAAGAATTTTGCAATCAAAGTCTTTAAACATTGGCAGAATGTTGAGAAAAAATTCTCCATGGAAGTGGGTCTTGAATGGCCTTTTCGAAAATTTTGGTCTCACGAAAATCATGGCAATCATAAATAGGCTGACTGTAAGGCTTTGATTGTCCGCTTAGTCGCCATGGTTGCAGAATCATGAGAGTGTAAAATTGAAAATAACAATCACAAGAATCAAATTCAAATCAAATAATTGGTAACTTCAGCGTGTTTTTATATTAAGGCATAAAATAACCGTAACAACCTCGTTCTGAAGATGGGCAAAATGGTCTGTATCTTATAACACGTTATTGATTTTTGAGATTATTATCTTCTTCTGATAAAGAATTTTCCTTTATTAATGACCGAAAACAAAAGATGAGATTTTTTCTAATTTTTAAATTTTTAATGAAAATTAACATAACAAGAGTGGCTAAACTAGAGATCAATTATTTGCAAGATTCTATAATCTTTCTTAGGAGAGAATATTTAAGGGCACTGCTTGCCCCTTCTGTCCCTCCTGGAAGAGGGTAGGAGGGGCAGCTACCCCCTGCAGCCCCTCCAGGATAGGCGCCCCTGTATTGATGTTTACTGCATCGATGTGTAATAGTGTGCAAAGATGCATGTATTAAGTCAGAATCTATTAATGTAAGATTATTTATTTAAATAAAAAATGACAAAAATTATTTAAACTTTAAAATTGTTTAAAAATTTAGATAAACTTCAAGTGTAACATTAAATTGTATTCTCAATTCAATACGTGAGTACTTTTCAAGAAAAAATCTAAACTTTATAAGTTTTCCGTTCACTAAAGCTATTCTTTGAAATATTATCAGAGAACTTAACTCGAGTTACTGAAAATGGCGTCATATATTTTTTCTCTCTTTTAAAACTCGAAAAAGTCTGCAGAAGATTGCATATGCTTTTGGAACAGCAATTGTTTACTTGACTAACTGAGCACATCTCGCATCTTATGACTTTCAAGAACGTTTCCATAACAATTTGCACATGGTTTGTAAGATGAATGTTTTTTAAGAAATGTTTTGTATTCTTTTATTTTTCATAACTCTTTGCTCGTGTTGCATCAGTGCTCTCCTGTGTCGAGAGAGTCACTCGTGGGGCATGGAGGCGTAGGCAGTTTGTGAAAAGTTTCAAATACTTCGGTCTACCGTACTTTTGTGCAAATTTTTCATTCTTAACTTTACAAACTAAATTGAAAAATATAAACATGTTTTATTGAGAGTACAATTTGGGTATTTAACTTTAGACTTTGCCATATAGTAGACGGCTTAAAATATGCAAAAGTTCAAAACATCACAAAAATTTAACTGATGTTATCTGGTAGAGCTCAATGAGAAGCCACATTTGAAGTAAATTGTTAATGTGAAATGGCATTTATTGCCAAAATATAAGAAAAAAGAGTGAAACACAGGCGAAGGGACCGTTGCCACATCTTGATTTATCGTGTTCTACCTTATTACTTGTGATTTTGCTACATGTATATGTGCCAAATTGAAATCATTACCAATAACCAAGCATCTAGGTAGGAATGATTTTCAGGTAGGGAAAGTGTAGATACCAATGTTGTTGCAGTTTTGTGTAAACCTCAGATGCCAGTATTGATTTCATAAGATAAGAAATAGCTGTATCGTCAATTTTGGTTTTTGCTTTCAAACGTCAAGCAAAACCTTTCGGCACAAGCAGCACCCTTTCGCCAGCAACCATAGCCTTCCCTCATCAGTGGCAATCTGGGAGGGGGGGGGGTAATGATGTCTCAGGAAACTTGAAGAATCAATGTCACAGGCAACATGTGACGCAGATTTATTCCCTCCACCTCTCTCTCTTTAAAATCGATGGATATGCTTCACCCTTCTATAATCATCAGCAGGGATTTTTCATCTTGAATTGTCATAAGTTTCGTCTGTGTAAAAATGTCAATCGCAATGAAATTAAAATATTTTTAAGATTCAATCCAATCCTTTATATGTCTTCCCTTGAAATAAAGTTGAAACAAAGTTGTATTTTTTCAGTTCTAGAGGGAGGGGCTCAAAAGAGAGAGGATTATTAAAAAGAAGGGACATGTCGAAAATTTGAAGTAAAAAATGTTTTAAAAATGCCCTTGTCAATTTTGTGTTATGAAAATATCATGCAAATGTTTTAAGAAAATTTTGCTAGCAGCTTCAAAAGTTTAATTAATCAATTATAAGAACCTTATCTTCATCAGAATCACCAGGATCATTTGTTAACCCTGGAGCATCTTCTTAACAAATTTTGACTGACTTCCAAGGGGCACAAACAAGTCTTTACATGACCACGATTCTATCATCATCACATTTGTCAAGAGACCCACTAAATGCGCTTTTTTTCTTCGTTTGACGTCAAAGGCTAAAGAGGGGGCTTTAGTAGAAAGGGGGTCTTATTTTAAGTTTTTGCTTGATAAGGGAGGCCTAATAGAGAGGGGCGCCTATTAGAGGGGGTGGCTTAATAGAAAGGAACTAATAGAGATAGGCTTATTGGTTTTTCTGTGGAATCTCCATGGTCAAATTCACTACTTGATTTTAGCAGACAGATTTAGCATAATTGAGGAAGAAAATTGACATGCAGTCAACTTCCACCAAACTTTACCTGATATCAATTTCAGCTGCCAAATTGTTCGAGGCAAAAAACTGGCGAAGCTTCTTTGACTAAGTTTCGTCTTTGTTTTGCAGCCATCTTTACTTTACATGGCACCACTTGCACTCATTTTATAGATTAGGCCATGACCTGGCAGCTAAAAAAACCAGTTTTTTTCCAATTGACCCATCACTTAAACTTTAAGCAAAAATATTTCGAGTCCTTGAACTATAAGTTTTGCTTGAACAGAAGTTAAAAAACGAAATAAACAATTTGTGGCAGTCCTAGGCCCATTGTTTGTCGTCCATTTACAGACAAGTGTTGGCGGAATCTTGTTATTAATGCTGGCATGAAGTTATTAAGGCCTGGTTGAAGGCATCTCAATTATGTTTAAAATCACTGATAGCTGAAAAACCTTTTTTCACAGATAACCCGAAATTTTCTCAATTATGTTCAATTGATTTTCACACCCGCTAACACGAAAGGATTTTTTTGCTTAAGTCACGAAATATCGATGTTTATCACCGAAGGTGGCAGATATAACAAGTTTATCAACACTTCGAAAAAATCAGCTCTTTTGGCCTTTTGAACATTATTATTGTCCAAAAAATTGCGAGAACTAGAGAAAAATTTCGCTCAAAAAACAACCAAGTCTGCAAGTTAGAAAAGGCAAGTCTGCAGAAAGAGAGGTAATGCAGTAACTGCTTAATTAATTTTGTTTCGAAAGGGTATCAAAGTTTGTTAAAATGACAGAAAGTTCAAATTACCCTTCGTCATGAAAACATTTTGTTCAAATTATCAGGTAATGGAGTAACAGAGCTTCGACTGTATTTAGAACAGCAGAAATAAAAAGGTGGCTGTCAGTCAGGTGTTTTATTTGTCAAACACGATTCCCATTTATTAACTTCATAGTTAATTATTTTTTGGATACTTCAAATTTCATTCATATGTTATTTGTTTGGATTTGCTTGTATTTTTTGAATTGGCAAGTCTCAATTCTGGTAGAGACTAAAATACAAGAGAAAATCAAATGCATTATCAGTTACGCACCTGTGTGATTACCAATGGCAGTTTTATATTTATGAAAACTTAAGCTATGAAAAGTAAACAGTTTCGAAATGCAATCTGAATAAGATTGTCAAGCTTTAGTGTAGATTTTAACACAAATAGAAATCGAGATTTCCGAAAGAGACATTCAAGTAAGCTCCGGATTAGTAAGTTTTTAATGTTTCAAAAATAACAAAATTACCAATAATGTGTAAAATAGAGCCTCAGGTCACAGATTTTAAAATAATTCAAGTACCATGCTGGTATTCGTCAAGCATTTTCGAGAAAAGTGGGTTTCACTTTCTTTTCACATAATCATAGGGCTGCGAAGTATTTTAAACTAGGAATTAGGCGACTTGCCATGTGACCAAATTGTCTGCAGACAAGACAAGCAGCAAGATTAGTCCCTGCAAGATGCTGGGCCTAAGTAAATAAAGATTGTAGTTTACAAGAGTTGCAAATTGTTTAACAAAACAAATTGTCATGATATCAAGATAGATATCGTTGATAGATATCAAAATGGATTGTTGTATTCTGAGATTCTAGTTTTGAATCTTGAAGGGTGAGACCTCTTGCTAGGATTGTATTATGTTCTGATTTCAGAATGGGGTTTTTCTTTGCTGGCTTGAAAAGTTCCTTTTATCAACTTTTTGAGAAACATACCTATACACCCCACATCGAATGTTTGTAACTTTTTCAAATGTTTTCAGCCCTGAACGTTTCTTGAAGGCTTGTAGGATCTCATTTATTGAAATTGTTTCGCATTGACAACGGTAAATCACAATTTGCGTTTATAAACATAATAATTTTTGCAAGGGAAGGAATTGTTTAAAGACTGCACAAAAGATAATGTTTGAAAGCATGAAAGCAGTATAGCAAAATATGATGTTGTGATTGTCTCCTTCAAACATAGTATTTAATGACAATAGAATGTTTTTACTGGAAATCTCACAGGCTTTTGTCGTATTTGATTAAATTCCATTATACAAGCTCCATCCAATAGCCGACTTTCTTCTGACCGTAATATTGACTGTAATATTACTGTCAAATTGATAATTGTCTCAAAAACCTTTTGATATAATTACTAGTGTACCGCAGGGGTCAGTTGTTTCACCTGTACTCTTCATCTGATTCATCTGCGACCACGTCTAACATCAAAGTTAACCCTTATGCATTCCTTTTCCGAGGACTTCTATTGCTTTAATTTTTGTTGAAAATACAATGCCAATCACGTGAGGATACACGCTTCCAATCAATCCAACTATTCTAACCATAGAACGAGTGCAAACATTTTCTTCTGTGAAGAACATCATAGCTTTTACAAAATCTATTTCCTCATTTGGGATTTCCGTTTCTTAACCCCTCTCCAAGAAAATCCCATCCAATTCGGACAAAAAGTTTATCTTACATTCTTGGCTTCTTTTTTAGAATCCCAATATCTCAATGCCTGCCAAAAGTCCTTGGAATGCCCTGATATTTCTGTGAATTCGCGTGTCCCCTTCTATTTCCATGTCAACAAGGGAGGTGTTGCCCCCCTTCCCCCTCATACAATGTTAATTCGCTAGCTGAAAATCATAGCTATGTAAAAATGTATCACTTGTACATGTAGGATTATTCACATTTCCGCGGCACAACATTTTACAAGGGGGGGGGGGGGGGGATGTTGCAGCTCGTGCACAACGTAAATTATAGCAAGTGTTCCAAGACTTTTGGCAGGTGTTGCAGGTCTTAAAACTTTGATTTTGATTTCAGACTTTGATTTTTCACCATTCCTTACAAATCTCGCATTTGCCTAACATTTGAGTACTGCTGTGGTGTAGCAGTGGTGTACTCGTAAAATTTTAGGAAACATAACTCAAAAGTTAGAAACAAAAGCAGCGTTTTATTAGTTTTTTCTTCAGAAATATAATTTTTTTTGTTTTTCACACATATCTACGTTGTACATTTATCTATCAAAATGTGCATATGTATAAAATGTTTATATTTATATACTAAAGGGGCGAATGCAACAACTTTTCTACGGCATCATCATCACCATCAGTTGTCTAGGTCGCTGGACACTGATAGCCTCCACAAACCCCTTTACTTTTTTCTATCTTGTGCTATTTTTACTCTAGTGATATATGTGATGTCCTGTAGATCATCCATGTTCCATTTTTAAGTATTCCGCATTCTTTTTCCATAGAAATTGGTAGTGATTTTCTTTGCCAATTTGCTTGTTTCTATTTGGGCGACACTGCCTGTTCATTGCAAGTTTGTCTTTTCCGATTCTTTTACACCGTCTACAACTTTGGTGTATGACCTTAACCTTTCATTGTCCACTTGTACACAGGCACGTGATGTTAAGCATTGTTCTTCCCATGCTTCCCTATGCCACTGCAAATTCACGCCAGTGTCTAACTTTCAGCACCAAAGCATATCTGCAAGTATAGCTCCATCTTTAACCCTATCCAGCCCCCCCCCATTTACTTAATCAAGCAGTGTTCCACATTGGTAGACTCAACTATCTAGACAGGGAATTTTGTAGAAAAAACTAGCAAACTGCCTAACCCCAAATTTTATTTCACATTCTTACTAAATCGACCATGGAGATTCCAAATTCAAGATGGGCCAAAGAAAATTGTCAGCAGAAGTTACTGTTTCTGATAAGGTCATCAAAAAAATGATAAAAAATCTTTAAAAATCAGCCAAGGACTTGACCTCAACTTTTCTTGCATTTTTGCCCTAAATTAACTAAGCAGATTTCAAATCTGAGATGAAATGAAAAATATCTTGAGCGGAAGTCAAATTTTTTGATGACGTCATCAACTTGGAGAAAATTTACTTTGAACCTTTATGATTGTTTTCTCGCAACTATCATTGGCAAATATGTTCCATAGTCGAATAGTACACATTCAAGGCTTTTGAAAGATGCATTGAATTACTATTATACTTACTTTTAAACGTTCTTTCATGATGTCATCATCATTTTATGATGTCACTTGTTGCTCTCAACAACATTGTCCTGATTTTAGGCTCAGATTTCTGTGCAATGGCTTATCATTTCTCAAAGAAATGATAAAGTAAAGTAGGCACTTTGTGGCCTATTTGATAATTTTTCTTTTTTATAGTTTGATAGCTCGTGTTCTTAAAAAACACGTTCTGTCCCCGCAAGTAAATTTGTTTAAAAATTCTGCAACTGGCAATCGTGGGGTGTAAGTACTTTATGACAGACTAACGCTCAAAAACTCAAATTTTAACCATAACTTGAGCCCTGTCTTAAAAAATTAAATAATTATTTACCATTCGGTGTAATTTTTTTTAAGGCGAAATGCACTAAATATACCTATGAAATTGTAAGCGTTAAGGATATTAAAGAAACTGTGCGTTCAACTTTTTATAGACTATAGAAATGTTAAATCGTGCTTGAATTGCATTTCACATACAAAATCTGGCCGTTTGTGGCGGCGGCTAATTAAAGTTTCAAGTAAACACATCTGTTGCAAATCTAGAGAAAAATTTAGCCGTTAATATCCAGCCCGTTTTAGCCAATTAATGCAATTTTCAGTACAGTTTATAATACACATTTTATAACAACCAGAAAATTTAAATTTTTCAAAAATCTGAGGCCGCATCTGCCAACAAAACCAGTGAGACATCCTTTAATTGCCAACAAATTCAAGAATTAACCTAAGAAGCATCCTTAAAAGCCCCTCGTTTTCGAGATGGACGAGCTCAGTCTTAGCTTGTTCTTAGTTTGTTTTTAACTCTTGACCAATTTTGAGGCTCGTGTTTTTAAAAGATTGTTCTTAAAAAAAAAGAGTTTAACTCGGAAAAAAATTTAACCTCGAAAATCGGGTATTTGGCATTATAAATATAAAAGAGAAAGAGGCAACCGAAGCATAAAAAACCAAGAATGCATTTTGCTCTCGCAACCTCAAAAATAAAAAGTTTCACCAATGTTGAAAACTTCAAGGATGTCGAAAGGGGGGAGCTGAGATCAATACCCCAGCATTACGAAAGTGTCCGTTAATTTCATGCCAATACATATGGGATGATATCATACATATGGAGGAAAGTAGGGGGAAAATTTTCGAAAAACACATTCCAAGCTTTATATACATGAAAATGTACACAAAGTTTGACTTATATATAGATAGAAAATTATTGAATGATTTCTAACTGAGTACGTTTAGTTGCAGTTTTGTATAGACAGTTGGTTTTTGTTGTTGCATTTAGTAATAGGGTTATCTGCCTAAAACCGGTTGCTATCATTTGACTCTGTCTTGCTTATTTTTAATATTTTTTATATGAATAATACAATTTTTGCTGACACCTAATTTCTTATTTTTAGGATAATTTCAGGCTTGGGTGTTTTTAATCTTGTTCTTTTTTCAAAATTTGTTTTCTACATCTGCCATCTTTTAGTGCTTTCTAAATCCACTGAATAACACAGTTGCATGGCATTTTAAGTAGCACTGTTCGTAAGCTGATAAAATCTGCTCTGTCTTTTTTAACACGAGAGATAATGTGTCAATTCAAAATCCAACCAATTAGTCATAATTATTGTAAAAAAAGGCTCATGAATATACTGCCTAGGATCTTCCTTATCAATTGTTATAAATATTTTTGATGCATTTTCTGGCCATCCTTAGAATGTCATATCTCAAAATTTTTCTTGCCGCCACGCCAACCATGGTGGTGGCTTTCATTAAAACCCTGGGCAATATAAACATTTTGCCCCCATACTTGCAGTGAAGTTTCCCCAGCCCTCCACATGGTATCAATGTTCTGATCTCTGCTGCCACTCAAGACAGTCAATGTACCTGGCTGTTCAACCAAAAAGTTCAACCCTCTCATGTTCAAATTGCAATGATGACATGGCAAAGAACAACTTAGAAATTTCATAGAGACCCCCCCCCTTGTTAAAATTTTACGACTTCATCCCTGAAGATATCTAGCTTTTGCTCGTTCTCTGTAATCAGTACGTCCGCGAGTCGCTGAAGATAAGTTGGACGTGGCAAACATGACTTTTGAATTCCTCTCTGCGGCATTGTGAGCAAAGTAAATCGAAGGCTTTTTAAAGAGGTTCGAAATTTCTAAAATGCTTTTCTCTTTTAAAATTATGCACCGTCAAGTATTTTGACATCATCAGAAAGCTAGTGCAAGTCCTTTGGTATTGACATTCCGCGGAGATTTGCATTGCAAAGAGAATCCACGGGGCTTTATTTAACATGAGTATTGTCATGCTTACATTCTGTGCACAAATAAGTACATAATATACCACATGAAGACTATTGATATTACCAGCAGAGAACACGAATGGAGTTTTATTAAAATAGCTGTGTTTCTCCGTGCCAAATTTTCCTTTAGAATAATAATTATGGAATTTTACAGTATTGTTGTGTGACGACTAGCGCTGTTCTATTGAAAATTCAAGCATCGCTGGATGTTATTTGAAGTACGAATTTGTAGAAGGGATGCTTCATTGCTAAGCCTTGCAATAGAGTTCGGCGTCTTCGTGTTTGACTTCTGGCGAGGAAAGCGTCTCACTTTTCACAGAACTGTGGTATTGCTTTCTAGGAATATGAACCGAACAAACAAAATGTGATAATTTTTGGCACTGGATTCAGAATGAAACGACCAGTTCGCTGGATGAGCACGGACTATCAAAGCAATGTTTGAAAGGTAAATCTAAGTATTTTGCTACAAGATGCACATAATCGACGAAAACGAGCATGATATGTTTTATGATCTCAGCATTATATATTTTTGCTGGTAATTACTGTTGTCTAGCGAAAGTATATGTTTTCCCGAAGCAAACGAAACTCTGAGAGTTGTGTTTGCATGTTCAAGAAACACAAGCACTACTATTTTGCGTGTGTTTAATACTTAGGTCTTGTCGCATTATCGTTCTCACGAACCAGAGATTTGTAAAAAGCGAAACATTCGCAGTCACAAACAACTTTAAACTTTGTAAGGCTCTATCAATGCGAAATGAAAGATAGATACAGGATTTCTATTAAGAGAAAAGAGTTCCAATCGTTGTATTTGTATACAAGTCTCATTCATTTACAATTTTTTAGCAAGAAACCTTTCCGTATAGCATACCGATATGGCCTACACTACCGAACGAATCTGAGATGGCATCTATTTAACCTGTTTTGATAAGGCAATTGGATATACCTGACACAATGAAAAGAAATGAAAAGTTTCACAATGAATTAAGATTGCTTTGAAATGGTTTGTTTGCCTATCTGAAAGCAAGAGAGCGAGATCAGTGAAATATTAGCGGCTGGCTTTGTTGATTAGCCAAACTCTGCAAAGTTTGGAACTGTCGGGTAAATATTGCCAAAAAAATGAACGAAAGTTTGTGGCAAACATAAAAGCTTCAGAACAAAGACCGACAGTTAATCTTTCAGAAAAGCCTGTGTTGTAGTTTAATAAATGGAGTAGTAAGTTATGATATACGCTAAGAATGGGAATGGAGCTGCAATAACTCCTTTTTCTTTTATAGCTCCTTGTTCTTCTTCAGGCCTAAGCACGTATCCATCGGCGTCTTTTTAAGAGACTGCAAACCTTACAAACATCTCAGTACTGTGAGTTTCCTCATAATTTTAAACTGTGAATATTTATAATGAAAACACAAATACAAATGAGATCTAGCTGTTAAACGACCGCCTTAATCAGTGGGCATGAGCTAACTGTCTTATAAACAAATAAAAGTAAATTTTCATCAATAGCTTTTATTTTGATCTTGTAGTTCTTTTTAGACATCATCAATTCTAGTATCTTGTCAGAAAATTGTATTGTGATTACTTATATTGAATTTTATGTGGTATGGATTGATGACGAAATGCAACGGAAACTAAATCTATTGTAACCTTACATTTAGCATTTTTGAGACACAGACAGGAAAATACAGTTCACATTAGAGAAAATAAAGGGTTTCTGATTATTACAGAAAAGTTTAACAGGATTAGCAACTAGTTTGGAACTCGTGACAGAGTAAAATGTTTCTAAAATTTATAAGTCAGCTAGTTTATTACGTTTATTAAGAGAGCAAAGTATTAAGAATTCTCAAAAGAGCTAGCTTTTAAACTGTTCAGCTGCTCCATTATTGAGATTCATATAAACAATGCTCGCAAAAACCTAAAAGCAACTTGACTGAAGCAAAGACGAGAACTAACTCAATACTCATAGACTGCTTCGTTTCCTAGACGAACCTGATGCGAAAAAGGTAGCATTTTAACTCTTCAAAGAATATGCAAATACAACAGATCCCAAGTTCCCACATCATATTTACTTATGAGTAACCTTAACACTGTAAACGCTGAGCAAGGGATTTTCTGCCTTTTCCGCATTCTTGTTTAGGAATTTGTAAACAGATCTTCTTCCATCTTTTGACTAATTTTGTGAATTGTAAACGCTGATCCTTATTAAATCCTCTTAAAAAGTTTATCTTCAGGATTTGAACAGTGCTCACCATATTTACGTCTACGTTAGATACAGGCTTCAGACAGTAGGGTTCTGAAGAGCTAATTCTCTAATTGCATTAATTGGAGTCACGAAATAAAACGACAAAAGTGTGCAGAATTCGCATAATTTTGTGCAGAGCAATTCTTGTTTTTTTCTTTATATCCCGGCAGGTACAGCACTAAGACATGACCAACACCTTTGTTCATTTCGTCAAAAATAATCCGTTCCTCTGATCTATGTTAAAAATATACGGTTTCATCTCTCACAACTGAATAAATTTTGACCCTTCAATTTTGAAAACCTCTGAAAAAGAATAGAGAAGGAAAAGTTCTAAAGACATTTTGTTAATTGTTCTGGCTATCGTAAGTGAAGGAATCATAGTCCCATACTTTTTTATACAGTTGAATCTTTCTACATAATAGTGTTATTGGTCTTTAATTTGCCCTTGGCCTTCCTACTTTTCAACCTGCCTCGGAGCGGCTGCGGGTTCCATTTAAATCCTTTTTACCCTATGCAAGGGAATATCGTTCAATCATCTTAGATCTTTTATCGTTAAATCTTGTATTGTATAAAATAGTCTTAAAGTATGGAATGGTCTTACCCTATGTATCAATGTAATCTTGTTTTCTACAGAGAGAAAGAGATTTCAAAACTAAAAATAGCCCCATTTCTATCGTAAGATATCTTTTTTCTCTCAAGTTGCTGAAAACATATTTGAGCTAGTCTCCTTTTTCATATCAAAAGAAAAAGGTCCTGTCCTAAGTTAATCTGTGTGATAGATAACCTCGTTTTAATTATAGTTAATTACTTTGTAACAAGGGTAACCTTAAATATTTCTTTTTACTTTAGTTGTTCGACCAACATTATTTTTGTGATAGAATGCAATTTGATTCAAGACTGTGATTGGAAAAACTCTGTTGTGATTGCTTGTGATCCCTCTTCAAATTTTTCCGCCACAGGTCCCTCGTATGCGAAGCAACCTTAGCCTTTTTAAGCATGCATAGTTGGAAATTAACTGACATTCGAGCATGACAGAAAAAGAAGTCAACGAATTTGGTCACGGGTTGCTGCACAAAGCTGTTATTCATAACAGATTGGATAAATTTGTTTAGTAAGTGTTCGGGCTATTCGATAGGCTAATTTTGGCCGTTTTAATTTTTTGATGACCTTGCGAAGGAGCTGAATTCTTAATGTTTCCCTGCAAACATGGCTTGTGATTCAACTGACATTCTATTCCAACCCGCAAATTACGATCGTAAGTAAAATTCCATCTGAACCTTGGAATTCTCGTGATTGAATTTTTGGCATATTATACCTTACAAGTAAAATTTACGGCTCAAACAAACATTTTTGAATTATAAAATGCATTGAAGCAATGCTTGAATAAGAACTAAGGGGATCTGTTATGGCATGTCAAGCTGCGACCATATGGTTGACAAATGAGATATGAGATAAGACTAGAAGCCCTTGCTAAACAAAAGAATTTACCATTAATTACTCTTTGGCTTTAATTTTCTAGACGGTGATTGCAGAAAACTGAATTCTATTTTGTGCTGTATTTGGCTAAAAAACTTTACTTTTATCTAGCCTTCTTCGGACAGGACATGACTTGAATGTAGAAGATGAGCTTGGATTCTCGCCTCTTCACCTAGCGGCATTCTTGGGAAGATGTGAGATTTTGCAGTTAATGTTCAAGCTTATCTATGATGAACAAAGGGTATGGATGAATTCATTACTTTGAACTATAAATATAGTACTTTCTGGGCAGTATCTAGCTTTTAAACTTTCAAGAGGACTCGTTCTTCTGCCACTATTATAATTTGCTTCACTAATGGATAATTCAAAAATTTTGAGAAGATGTAGAAGAATTTGATGTTGGCACATTTCTATTTTTATAAATGAACAAATGAGCTCACCATCTAATGTCTTTGCTCAATCCTTTCTATCTTGACAAATCGACTGCTCTCGGAGAAGATAAAAGTTTTACATGAATAGCATGTACAAACTTCAGGCCGATATCGATCACGTTATTGCGAATAATGGCTGTTGACATTTTCTTTCTCCGAATTTAATAAAAAACAACTCTTAACATGGATATTTATTCATAAGACGCAGATTACATATAAATACCCGGCTGCCTGAAGTAGATCATCTATCAGAATTTATATGTTATCTTCAGGTTACTTCAACAAAGACGCACTTAGGTATCCGATAAGATATGGATGTTTGACGTATTTCATTATAAAACGTGGCTCTCGTCTGTACACCTTTATGATGATTATTATTCCAAAAAGATAAGCTGACCATTGAAGACTGTTACAAGTATTCAAAGTCTTTAAGAGAATAGGGCAACATGATTTTATTGTAAGGTGTTTATGTAAATCCATTTATCTGAATATTTGATTCTGTTCATTAGGAAGCGCTGCTACAGAGACCTCACGATTCACTGACAAAAGGCGAGACTTGTAGAAACACTCATTTCATTGATATCAACGCCAGGACAAAGAATGGACAAACGGCACTACATTTAGCTGTAAAAAATGGTCATTATGGTGTTATTGTTTCTTTAGCGAGTTTAGGGTGTAACCCAAACATTGTAGATCAGAGTGGCCAAACAGCTTTGCAAGTTGCAGAAAAACTTAATCAAAGAGCTTGCATTGATGCTCTGAAGCAAAAACAAGATTTTGCTGGAGAGAAAGCTGTCCTTTATCACAGCACAGGTAAATCATTTGAGAGGTTGGATTTCATCTGAAGAAATTTATCACTGTTAATTAATATATTTCTGACGAATATTTTGCAGTTTTTTTAAAATATGGGCAGGTTTCTATCTAAACAAAAGCTTAAAAGAAAGCAATTGCCTGACCAGCTGTAAAGCAAGTCACTCTCTGAACACCTGCAACTAAACACGAATTTTTCACAAATTCTAAATCGTCATTATCTCTATCAGATATTGGCGAGTTTTTCAAAGAACGTACCGAGTGAACAAAGGGCTGTTGATCCGAAATTACAGCAATGCCGACTACATTTTCTTATACGCAGGTGACAAAATTTAAAACTAGGAAAGGATACCGGAGACAGGTAGAAGGGAGGGGCGCTTTTCAGACATTCACACCTGCAACATATAAGCAATAGATGGAAGCAAGGGTTTCGTTCATCGAGGAATTTGTTTAAAAGAAAGTTGGCGTAGGACTTAAACCATAGCATTGTCAGACAATTAAAGAATCTTCAAATGTAGAATAAGGTACGCAATCCTGAATTGCACAATACTGAAAGTGAATCTAGACAATGAAGATGATAAGAACGTTACCATGAATACAGATATGTTAACGTATAAACATTAGACTGTAGTATCAAAGGAAACTTGTAGCATGACATCCTTCATCAACACGATTTATTGCAAATAACATTTATACTCCAGTACACACTAATACTACACGAGGATCGTTTAGCTTCAATTTTTGTGTTTTTTTTTTGTCACTTAGGCGCGTTGAGAGAAGAAGACTTCAAGATGGCAAGAAATGAAGCTGTTTTGAAATCAAAAGAGGTGCCAGTTTTTCAAGCTGATACCACTCTAAACGAAAACCTAATCACACACCAAACTCATGTTGCTATCAACATCTGGTAAGTAAACATACACTCTTTTTGGTTTGGAATAAAAATGATTTTGAAAGTGGTCCAAAATTTAACGATTAGACTGTAAAAACTTCAATACAAAGAATATTCTGAAGAGACTGAGGAATCTTATAGCGATTATAGCGAGGATCTATTTAAACTAAAATTGTAGAAAATATTGTGTTTTATTAACAAAATCATGGTACAAAGTTGTTTCACCAGTCACAATGTAATGTGGAGAGCAAGAACTGCAGTTTTTCCAACTGGCGTCAAGTCTATTAAAATAACCAATCCACTTGACCTCCCTGAAATTTCTCTTCGGTTTGGTCGTGTTGGAAAACAAATGCCACCATGTTTCTCCTCCGTAGAGCTACGCAGCTTGTGTAGCCATGGGCAGTTGCGGATTGGCTCAGAATTTCTAACCAGGCGTGAGAAACTGAAGAGGGCCAGAGGGCGTGATATGAATAGCTAAGGCGTGGTTAAGCGAACAATTGATCGTAATCTAGCAATTTCTAAGTAACATAACATAACATAATGATAATGATAATCATAATGATAATGATAATGATAATGATAATGATAATGATAATTATAATGATAATTATAATAAAGCACTAAAATTGCACCATGTATCTACAGGGTTCATGCTTCTTTGCAGCTGAGAATAATTTTGCGCAAAAAAGATCAACTCGTATTTTGGGTTTCATGGCAACAGATGTGACAAACTCGCAGATCTTTTCATCAAATTCATTTTCAATTGATATCTAAACGAAAATTTGATATCTTACTGAAATTGTCATAGCTTTAAGCATAATAGGAAGGTTTCATCGACGTTTACGTAATAATCCGCTAAACCAGTTTGATTTTTGACTTTCAGACTTTAAGCGTGATTACACACGATAACTTCCACAAAAATTTCAAGCTTATCCTTTCAAATCCACTTTGATAAAGTGTCATCACAAGAAGCGTTTTTTCTTTTGCTTGCCAAGACACAAGTGATCGGTCCTGCCTCCTTTTCACTTTAGCACCTTGCTTCAAAATTTGTACACTGTATACGCCCACACGAGCATGGGCCGGCTCCGTGTTTCAAGTGCATAGCCCGGTTTTGATTTCAGGGGATGTAAAAGGTATTGATTGAATTTAAATGGTCGATTGTTTAATACGGCCAGTGCTAGTACAGAAATAGTGGAGACGTTTTACGAGCCTGAAATATGATAAGCTTGAACCAAACTGGCTATATTGTAAAGTGGTTTCACAGCAATAGCCTCTGCGCAGCTTTATTTTGGCTCTCGCCAGTCTTTTTCCAACGATTTAGCGCGTGTGTAAGTTGTGTTTTTTTAGTTGAGTTGAGTTAAGCATTAGTAAGATAATGCAATTGTCCCTGTTAATTACGTGGTAGTTTTTGTCGGCCTTATACTTCTCAACCCGCACGGTTTAAGGTTTACAATAGGCTATTTCCATTCATGGACATAAACATGCAGAAAATAAAAAATCAATTAGTTAAGAGCTCTTAATCAATGGAAGGGGTCGATATTTGAAAATAATTAATAGAAGGAGGTAGTACGAGTAGCTGCAATCCTTGTCGAAGGTCTTGAAACGCATCCAAGAAAGAGAATTTCAATTTGCCACTTCATATGATCGGATTCGTTCAGGTACAGTAAAACATTGCATGGTGTCCCGGGGTTTGCACTCTTTTTATTTTAAAAAGAAGAATATTTAGGCTAAGAATCGTACAATTTTATAAATATATTAGAAGAAGATGGAATTTTGAAAAAGTGTTTTAGAGATGGTGAAATGGGACTGGAGTTGAGAAAAATGAAATTAAATGTTATTTAGTTTAATTTTTAGTTCTAACTTCAGCCCCTGGAATTTGAGCACTTAACACAATTGTCTGAAAACAGAGTGCATGCAGATCTATACGGAAAATTAGCTTTGTGAATCCATGCATTCAGCCTGAAGTTTTCAGATAACACCGGCGACCGAGTAGTCTACCAGAAGTGCGGTATCCGGAGAATGCAGAACTTGCTAAAATTCTCGTTGACAACCGATTTTTGATGTAAAACGTTGAATCAAGCAGATCAAATCTTGAGTTGGTAACAAATGTTGTCTTTCTTACCCTAGGCCTTAGGGCCTAAGTAGGTGTACCTCGATAGTATCGAAAGAAGGTAGTACACACTACACACACACAGGGGCGGATCCAGAGCAAATTTGAAGGAGGGGTAGTTGGTAGTTGGGGCGCTGAAAAATTTTCAAATATTGGTTACGAGAGTACGCTGTATACAACAATTTCAGATACCTTTTCAGAATAAACAACATAACTTTGAGGTAATCCTTGAAAAAAATTAACCTAGAACCTTTTTCATCTGATTCTCATTCTTCAAAAGGGGCGCACAATTTCCAAAAAGGGGCACCAGACTTGCTTAAACTCGTTGAGGGAGGGGCAACTGCCCCCCCACCTAAAATCCGCCACTGCACACACACTAATAGAATGTGGGCCTGTGGAATAGCATGCAGGTTGAGACTAAGAGGACATCCCCCCTGAAAATTCTTAAAGAATAAACACTTTTACACTTTTACATTGAATAAACACTTTTAACTTTAATTTCCAAAATAGCAATCTGGTGTGAATAGTGTTTTACTTTGTAAACATATCGATCGTCGTTTCATTACTCTAAATGGGTTTTAATGACATGAATAGTAATTGTGATTAAATTTGATCATTATTAACACAAGCATTCATTCCGCCTCTTATTCATTTTATGTGTCTCGGTTTCGTTGCCGAGAACACTCTATTAGGTAATATTTATCCAGTTTTCAATGTTTCAAAACACACTTTGTTACACTGGAATCAAAACAAACTTGAGCCCTTTTCAAATTAAAACTTTGTTGAAATTAGAATAACGAGCAAACGTTTTGCACTGTCTGCAAAATATTAGGAATTTATACATATCGGCTAGATAATAGAAAAACTCTAAAGACTTCTGTTGGTTTTTGGTTTAGCTTGTGCAAATAGGCCTTTGCCAACTGAATTACTGCCCCTTCCCCGTAAACAGGTCAAACCAAAAAGCTAGTTGAGTTAAGGCTTCAGCCTCAAGCTTTCCTCAATAAAATACTGTTTTTAGAGAAGAAAATTTAGTTGTAAGTTTAACGAATGGTTTTTTAAATTTTATTTAAACATAATTTCATGCCTTTGAAAAAATGTTTGCAGACAGTGGAAAGTTTGACAAATAACTTAAACATTTGAAAAAGTTTAGTAGAGTAGAATATGCTAACATTTCTAATAAAGATCGGATTATGTTGTTGCGTTGACGTAAGAAGACAGTGGGAAATTACTCGTTTTTAGCTAGGAAACCAGGTTGTTTCCAAGGACCGGAGAATATTTGAGCTTCTTAGTCGAATATCGCAAAGAAATGATTTGTTATTGTGAGAGATTTCGGGTACAGATGTGGTTATCCTTAACAACAATCATTCACAAACAGAAAAGCATGGGCACTAACAAGTCAAAGCAATTTCGGTTGTTTTGCCTTGAATTAAATAGGGGATTTCATTGACGTTGATAAGAGCTCTGTTTGCATAACGATCGTATTAATCAAAGCTCACCCAGAAGGAACGAGCAAATCGACAGGGCGCCTGTTTACATGCGAAAGCAGCTTAGCTACAGGGAGATCTAGAATTTATTGGCAACACCTCTGTAAGTAGAAAGACGAACACGCTTCAATCCATTTGAAGTTTAAACGGATTCGCGGATCATGGTAAGCTTCAACGCAACTTCGACTTGTGGGCGTTCTTTGATATCGCGTGCTGTTTTGTTGTTTGTTGTGATGGTTTGTTCCTGTTTGTAGATATTGGTTTGAATGGCCTAAAATTTCATAGGCAAATTGCAATATCATTATCTTTCAAGGCCTTATCGACACTTATCACAGTTTTTATTTATTATAGTGGTATCAAGTTGTGTTGATACATCATGGCGGATTTCGATATCTTGAGGAGTATTATTCTTCGAGTACGTGAGAAATTTGAATACGAAATATCTTAGCTAGAATGGAATGTATCCATGACCTGAAGAAATTTTCAACTTCGAAGTAGGAATAATGAAATGTGTTAATTGTGATGTAAATTCGAGTTATCTTAATCATTTGAGTTTGGAATTTTGCTTAGCGGGGTTTCACAAGGAATAGTCTGTATAACGTATAGACAGACAAAATCTTATTGATTGAGGTCAGGAAGTCGACTTTTTTTAATATGCAGTTGGAAAAGAGGCTGGAAGACTCTTAATCGAGGAGAAAAAAGTCCCCCACAATGAACTCGGCTTTCATGTCCTTTGATTTTTCACCCCGCCGCAAGAGGGCCAAGATGGCTGTTATTCTACTACAGAACAGAACATCGCAACTATAATGCATGGTATCATTGTTGCAGTTGAAATTTGTGTTTCTCGTTTAAACATTGCAAATTTAGACTATTAAACCCGTTTTTAGTTTGAAGCCCGATTTAATTTGAAATCCTTGTTTTTTATGGAACATTTTTCTTTAGTATACGGATTTACGGGTCTCTCATTGCAAACACCTGAAACTTCATTCCCCCAGAGCCTATTTTGGCAGCCACATTTTGGGTTCTTGGCAATTCACTACGTGAGATGAATAGACCATTTAAAATATTGTAAATGTGTGTGCCTATTTCCATCTGTCAGCAGCTGGCACTCAAGAACATGAAACACAAATATAATTATCATGGACATCAGCATTAAAAAATATACTGCTTTTTAAAGGTTTGAAGATACGTAAAAAGATACAGAATTCCAATGTTTTCTACATGCGGTCAATGGATGTTGTTCGTAATGAACTCATTCAAGCAATTAAATTTTTTTGCAGGAATAATAAAATAGCTGTGCTCCTTCTCTTCGTCTTTGATCTAACGATAAAGAAGCTAGTGATGACAATCATAGAGAGTGCTGCAACAATGCCAGTCGTGACTTCGAGCTTAGAGATTTTAGCGTAGAATACAGAGACGCAGCTGAACTCAACATGCAAAAAATTGTTCCTGCAGCCAATTACAAGTCTAACCAGTACCGATTACAGGGCCAAAGCACTCGACGACAGTGCTCTTTTGTCCAAAACTATGTATAGTTTTACGTAACTTTCTAATGCATCGAATTAGATCGAAATCCAGCACTTCTTTGGATCTAACAAGAAAAAAAACGAAGGCAGCAAACTTTAAGCAAGGCAACGCTAAAGAAGAAGAAAAAATTGTTAGCCTTAATTGTAAGCTGATAACGCCGCGTTGCCGCCGCGTTGCCGCCGCGTTGCCGCCGCGTTGCCGCAGCGCGCAAAACCTTATTAAAAAAGAAAGAAACGATGTCGGATTGTATTTTGAATTTAATAGTTAGTTTCTATATACTGATTTTTGTTCATAAAATGCAGTTTCGTTTGTACAACTTTTTTAAACCCTACCTACATGTTTAAAGAGCTGTTACATCATAGTTTGTAACAGTTCATGACATGCCAGAACAAAGGTTTTAACACTCTTTGAAGTAATACCTGCATTTTTGATGGTCCAAATGGCGTGGTTCTGTTGAAATATTCGTACAGGGTGTGACTAAATGTTTGAAAGCATGTTTGGTCTTCGAAATTTCCTTAGAATAGGCACTGCTTCACTGGTAATGAATAGGCCCAGCAGGGTGACTGGCGTATTATGCATTGCTGTTGACCATGAAAATAAACCAGCGACTTTTAAAGTCTGGGTACATCTAGTGTCATAAATAAAATAAACTAGGAAAATAGTCTCAATTTCACATTAAACTTATTTCTATATCACAATTGTTGTAATTATAGAATTTCCTAAAATTTCAGTAAGAATTGTTGCTATTTTCCTTTGCAACTGTTCACAAACTGGCAGTAAGGACATATGCCAAATAAACGATATTTGTTCTAATCGATTGGCCCTTGTTATTGTAACTTTTAATTTGGTGAGTTATATCCATCTGGTCCACAAAAATCATTAGCGAGCATATAAGAGCATTCAGACCAAATACCTTTGAATATTCAGAAGAATTCTTTGTGGGAATCAAGCAAACTCCAATTAGGGCAAACTGTTCCATAGAGTTGTGTAATGCCAAGGAAAATTGTTTGGAAAATTTTTACTTTGATATTGACTATAGTCTCTAGTTTTTTCTGTTTTTTCCTGACATGTATATAAATCTCCCTGCTGCACGTATTTAACTTTGTTATTGTTAATTTTTTCAAGAGTTTTCATTCCTCAGTTTACGCTTATATTTTAGATATATTTTTCCATCTTGTTCGTTCGCTTCTCGTCCTGAACAAGCTCTTAGCATCTCTTGTCTTGCTATGCATTGCATTGCCTATAAGTATTTACCGTTAGAGAGGTTTCTGCCAAGTACGACTGGGATTTCACGACCATCGAATGTGTGCGTTAAACAGAACCAAAAACATGGCAGTCAATTCTTATGAGAAAGGCAATTGGAGACAAAAGACAGTTCAATGACACACCTAAACGGCGCCTTTTTTCTTTGTTTTATCGGAGGAAAGATTTTTAGACCATGGATTCTGGGATTATAGCCTTACTAGTTATGCGCTGTGATTCGTAGGAGTTAAGGTCAAGCTTCTCTGATAAAGCATTAGTTGCTTCAAGCTTCCGAGATAAAGTAACTGTTCAGCCTGATTTTGAAAATAGAATAAACTGTAGTGACTTGGAAAGGTCAGCGGGGATTACAGTGTCGTTATAGACAATCTAAAGGTATATTGTAGAGTACTCTGAAATAAGATTCAAATCTGTCTTTATAGACAATCTTTCTCATGCCTTTCTTCTATCTTCAGAAATCTAATACGTAGTTATGGAGCTTCTAGCTAATCTTGAACAGGATAGAATGTGTTGAAGACAAAGTTTCAAAAGAGTTCAGTAGAAACTTCCTCAATCGCCCGTTGTTGGGCTTGAAATAAGAAAGTGCTTTATACTATTTATACTAACGTTTGAAGCTGCCTCATATCTCTATCACTTGTATTTTCTATGTTTCACAACTCTTGTCACCAAATGATTGTTTGCTGAAAAGTTATGTCGCACTGTAAATCCTTCTCCGATGGGTGAATAACACATAATTCCAAGAGTTTATATCTATTTTTCTTCTTGTTTACAGCAACGCTAAAGATGTAGAGCAATTGGGACAAGTATCTGAGGACTTGAAATCTTTTATAGACGATTCAGTGGGGACAACTACAGCTGCAGGTAAGAGTGAAAATGCTGCAATAGTTGATAGTTCGTCTTTTGCTTCTACTTCATGCAACATAAGTGAAAGCAAGCTAAATAAATCCGCGGAAAGCTTGCAGATATCAAAGGAATTGCAATCAGGTTTTGAGGAAAAAAGGGTAAATCGCAAATCAAAGGTTCACGATCAGATTCTTTGTTTAAAATGCCTACTGAAACGGAAGTCTGGATATCCAAGTAAATTAGTTTCTTCCATATCAGGACTGGATATGGGTGCGAACCAGTCTGTAGATACAGCACCTCAGGCCAGTGATATGTGGGAGGTCTGGGAACTTAATAATAACCGGAATGACGACAAGAAGGAATGGAACAGTCCAAACAGGTCGCGCAAAAATTTTGGACAACATTTCGAGCCATATGCTTCACGCTCAATTCCTGATTTTTTAAATAAAGAATCTTCTCTATTGTTGGGGTCTTTAGAACTCAAGCATAAAGATTATCACAACGGTTTCAAAGCTTTGCACAACGAAAGCCAAGAAAGAAGCTTTTCTTGTCCTGAACTGTCTTTGTTAACTGAGAAATCGACTGATGATCAAAGTCCTATTAATATTACAAACTCGGTTCATGGCTCATTGAAAGAGAGGCTTGAGGATTCCGAAGCCAGGAAATCAATAGAAGAATTTGGAAACGACAGTTTTGAAACTGACAATAATCGAATACATTCGAGCGCTTATTTTGATGCAGATATAAGAACCAGCCTGCCTTCAGTCGTCCTAACAAGTCTTGATGAATCACCTCATGTATCTAGTAGCAACTTAATCTCGTATTCAATGAGTCCGATTCAGAGTAAGCCAGATCTGCCTTACTTTTTCTGCGAAGACATTTATCACATTCGATCTGATTCAGATTTACGTGGGAAATTTCGTAGCAAGATTCACCATCCAAGTTTGACTGACGACTTGTTATCAAGAAGCACATCCTACCTGTCTCAATGCATTCTTGAAGAGCAAATCGATTACTTTCCTTGCAAAGATGACTCGTGTCTATTTACACCAAAACACAAATGTTACGACTGGAGCCTATCGCTGGATTCTCCGAATGATTGCGATAAAGATCATTTAACGGTCAGTATTAGATCACGTGATGAGGACACGGCCGTGGAGCCTGCGTACTCGTATATCTGTTCTGAGAATGAAGATCTTGAAGGATCCTTTGTTTGCTCGGATTGCGGTGACATCATCCCGAAGTTAGGCCTTCATGCTAATGACGAAGACACCCAACCGAACATAATGAAAGAATTTGATGACAAAGATGAGTTTGTGTTAATCTGTTATCCAGAAAGTGAACATCAGTCTGCAAACATAGATGCCATCGATAGAAAAAAGAGAATAGAAACTAATTTGTTAACAAAATCGATGTGTATTTTTCCTCGAGAAGACAACACAAGGATCAGAAGGCTATCGGGGGTTCATGGAAGCCTCGAGAATATTCAAGAAATTGAAACAGAGGCTGAAAGAGATAGTGATTGCGAAGAAAGTGACGCGGGTTCAGAATATAGCGAGCATAGTTGTAATCTTAGAGAAAAATCATCGGATTTGTTAAAAGTTCCTGAGAACATCGAAGAATTCAAAGGTAAAGAGAAAGATAGGGAGGTGAAGGGTGATCAGAATGATTGTGAAGCAAGGTGTAGTGAAGAAGAGGGTAATTGTAAAGGTATTTTTAAAAACACCGTAGAAGGAGAGAAAGTATGTTGTGTAATGGATGGTGAAGGATGTGCAGATATATGTGGTGACCTTAATAGAAATATCGATGAACATTCAGGTGAACGTTGCATTGTTGACCAAATGGCTGAACTACCTGGACACGGACCAGAAGATGGTAACAGTATGAAATCGGAGGGTGTAAAGAAGACAAGTGAATGTAATAATAGGCACTACGACCATGCCATTAACAACACCCTAGTTGATTTACCAATAATTGATGATACAAATAAAGTAATAGAACAAAGTAACTGCATCGGAGTTGATATGGTTTTTAGGAGTGCAAGTGACTGTGTGGAAAATGCGTTAGCCGTAGAAACTTTGGAAAAACCAGTGAAAACAGACAGCTCAGACGTCAGTTTAGATAATGATGGATGGAGTAACTCACTGGAAAAAGAAAGCCTCAACAATGATGGAAAGCCTCCTACCAGTGGGGATAAGGTAAACTTACAGGAATATGGGACCTTCTTGCTTCCAGGGGAGGCAACGAAAAAGAACGGCATATCGACAGAAGAGGTCGAGAAAAACTACGAAAATAGTTTGAAAGAAGCTAAACATTCTGACTATTTGGAATTTGAAATCTCGAGCAAGTACGAAAATGAGCACGAATGTGCATCATCTAGTTGTGAAAATTACCTCGCAAAAGGACAATTAGGGATTGTTGGAACAGATTTACGCTTCCCCTCAATATCAAAGTTTCCAAAAAAGGAAGAATCGAGTGACGCTATAAGAAGGTATAATTTCTTTAAAAATACAGAGAATCTTTCGAACGATAGCATCAGTGAAAAGAAGCAAAACGATTCTTTTGGAAATGCTGGTGCTGGATCTCAAGACATCATATTTATTCCAGCATTGCCAGTTGTGGCTGGTGAGGAGGGTTTAATGTTTGCAGCAGTTGTTAAGCAGACCAACATTTCAGAAAAGATTTCAGAAAAAGATGAGGAGCAAGAGAAATCTTTCAATGCTCTTGCAGGTAAATCTGATTTAGAATTTAGTACTTTGCAAATAGACAAAGTTAACTTTAACCAAAGTCAACGTAACCAAAAGGACAAAGATGTTCCATACGACCAAATGGGAGTTAGGAATATTGCAAAGGAGAGTGTTATTGCCAGTAAGTATGACTCAAATGCATGTCCTAATCGAAAAACGTCCTTTGCTAAAGAGACTCACTTCAGCGAATATCATCAATGTCAAATGTGTAACTGCCTTGGGATTAATGATGATGTGGCCTACGGGTGTTTACAATGTACGTACGATAGAGGACTATCTCAGTCTACGAGCGAAAGCCTGCTCTCCGCTGATACAGGCATAGATGTTGACGACGTGTCGTTGGCAGACTGGGACGATTTTAGTGTGGGCCTGGAGAATGTGCAGTCGAGTTTTTCGAAAAGTAATCGTTGTGTTAGTGAATTGACATCAACGCCAACGATAAGAAGAAAATCATCAAATCAGTTCAGTACACAAGAAGTGATTGGTGTTTGTGTAAAAAGAATAAGTTTTAAAGCAGAAGACGGAGTCTGGAACAGGGAAGAAAACATACATTGCAAAATAGAAGATTCGGGTAGCATTTCAAAGCGTATGCCTTCACCAGTCGTTTTAAAAGCAGAGACAAGAACTGCTCAACAAACTCCCGTCAACCATAATGACGTGGGGAGTCTTGAAAGTGAACAGGGTATCGGACAGAATGGTTTTTCAAGTAGCTCAATAACCAATTTCCCGTCGATCGACAAAAGTCAGTTGGAAAATGTGCTTTGTAATAAAGATTCACAAAGCAGTCACCTCAGAGATAATGCTTGCAAGAAACGTCTCGCAAACACTACGATGATGGTAGAAAGCTCTTCATCTCATTTTTGTGAGTTGAATCGTACCGTTGAATTTAGCAAAGGCTTGATAGATGATACAAATGCAAAAACAAGTGATCACCTTTTTGGTGTACCTGATCGAGAAGACTCTAGTATGAATTTGTCTGATAAAGTTAGCGAGAACTCAAGGACAAACGATTTGATTTCTTTCAATAACATCGAAGAAGAGCTTATCAACCGTTTCAAAAAACAAATTTCTTTCAAAGTTTATCTGACTGGTGGCGAAAGTAATGTCATTTGCGAAGAATTCAACAATGATGAGATTATGGGCCTAAAAATTTTTTCTATAAATTTAAAGACAGGCAGTGAACACTACTGTGAATCGACGAATATTGAATCAACAACTGCCAACATCCTTCATATAAATAGCTGTATAGCGATTTTCCGAAAGAAAAAAACGACAAATGATGTTAGATTAATCTGCTATAATTTTCAAGGGGAAGCAAGTAGAACAAAGCTACATGACTGTTGGCTGATGAAAGATGCAAAGGCCTTTGCTCTTGTTTTTATAAAAATTGCCGAAAGCTCTACGCCTAAAAGACTGCAATACATTCTTGCGAGAAAGCTTATCCAACAAGCTATACTTAGAAAAACATGTAATATAAACGTTGTCGTTAACTGGATCCTTGTTTTCCTTGGACTTATTAAGAGCGAAAGACCTGTTGATACGTCCAAGGAATTATCGAAAGTTTTGTCGTTGCTTTGCCAAGTCGTGATGCTACCATATTTTGAACTACGATACACTCGTCAAATCGCGTTCACGGTCGCTCGGCCACATGTCATGTTTATTGATCACGCAGAATCTCGCACGCAGTTCCTCATCACTTGCATAAACATAGAAATAAGCAGTGTCTCGTTTTCTTGTAAATATCCGTTTAAAATATTTGTTGCAGTTCACAAATACCTGTCCAATCTTGATGACGATCTTAACGTAGCAATCCGGACACTTGACACGCATATGGCGGATTTTTTATGTCATGAAAACAGTCTCGATTTTGTCAGTGACATTCTCATTTACTTAGGCCTACTTAAAAGCGAATTTCCAGTCAATACGACAACGGATTTTAAATCATGCCTTCCACTTCTCGCTCATATCGTTAGACAAGCGTATTTTCCAGAAAATGGAGCATTCCTACTTCATGCTTTCATCATAAAACCAAATGCATTGCTGAAAGATCTCATGGTAGAAACATCGAATTTGTTGGCTGCTTTGGAATCTAAAACAATTATGAATTCAAAGAAGAAGGAAAAGTCGATCGGAATTGGCCCAAGCGAACCAGTGTTTCAAATAACCGATGAACTATAGCTATAGTAAAATAACCATATTCTTGATGAAATATTTCGAATTGCCTACAGATTAGCGAGAAAACATTATAGCTTATATAAAATCAAATAAACTTAGGGATATCTCCATTTCATCCAAAGCGTTTCATGTAACACCCTTCATTCTTTGCCCAATTTGCACCGAGATACAAGGTTATCATTTTTGGTTTCAATTGTACTTTTATAAAGATATGTTCAATCATGGGACGCTAAAAAGCCTTTGAACATGTAGCCCTGGGCTTCATTCTAACCTCAAATTACTTATAATCGATCATAACGTTTACTTTGGACAATACTGTAATTTTCACGCGTCTGTTCAAGATCTTAATAATTAGCTTTTTGCCACAGGTAAAAATTTAGAATGAAAACCGATATTAGACATATTTTTTCTCGGTTATGGGAAATTGCATGTAGCAACAATCTCTGACAGATATCATTTTGTCAGGAAGAGGTTTAAGAAAAGCTCATTTCCCAGTTTCCTGAAAACAATTAGACCTTTTTTACTCGAAAAAGATAATTCACGCGCCGAAATTTCTGCAAATCAGTTCAAAGCCGTAGTGATTTCATTTATCATGTCGTTTCTCAGCATTTCAGTCAGTTTGGGAAACAACCGTTTCTAGGTTTGAATGTCCCGTTTTGCTTATTGGATAAAAATGGCAAATCAGCAAAGCGAAACAAAGGCTAGAGAGTTATTTATGTGTTTTCAATGAATATAGGCAAATACGGAGAAATAAATCAACGCCAGTAGTTTTTTAAACGTCGTTAGCTTAAGGCTTTATCGAGGCTTTCCTGTCGATTTTGTTGTTGTTGTTGTTGTTGTTTCGGTTGCTGTTAGTTTTGTTATTGCTGCTGTTTTTTAATCCTTATGGCGATGTTATTGCTCTTGTCTCTTCATTCTTGAGGCATTTCTGTTGATCCTCCTTTGTTTGTTTATTGTTGTTGTTGTTGTTGCTGTTCCTGTTGTTGTTGCTGTTCCTGTTGTTGTTGCTTATTGCGTTGTTGGCCATTGTTGCTGGCAGTGTTTTGTTTCTTCCTTAATTTTTAGAAACTTTAGAAACAGGTTTTTATCAAACTTTCCAACCTCATGTAAGCGCTTTCTTCGTCTAAATTGAAAACATCAAAAGCATCCAAAAAATCTAACTTTGGAAACGCATGCATGCATGATCCAATGAATCTAGTGAAACCTGTACTTATTATTGTTTAGTACCAATATTACAAAGAATCTGGAGGTGGTTTGAAGGTCACGGTAGCAGTCAACATTCAAAACTAACTTTTAATCTAATATATTAGAGATGTGGGCGTTATAATCACTTTTCGGTATGTATGCAATGTATAGACAGTTCTTTGATATAGATTTGTTTAAATGCAGCTGTTAACAATATTTATTTATTTATTTTTCGTGAATTATTTATAGAATTAATGATATATATTTTAAGTACGTATGTTGAACCTGATATCATTGGCAGCAGCTTTAAATCCTCCGCATAAACACATTTAATTTTTCCGAATCACCCGTTCATTAGTCTTTAAAAACTTCTGGAGTTCAACTTTTGTGCATAATGAAAGAGGTGATGATAAAGGGAGTATGAAATACTACCTTACTGCCCCTCCCCCCACTATCTAAAGAAGAGTTATTAAACTACATTGTTCATGCCACAATACCACAGAATAGTTGACCCAGTTCCATGTGTTAGTTTATTCTGATGTTTCATCCAGAGCAATTTAACTCATCATAACTAGAGAAATAGTGCATATTCTCTTTAGAATATCAACTGGATTCCTTACGGCAGCGTAGGTACAATACTGTAAAGACACAAAATTAATACTCAATTGCAATGTTACTGAAAGAGAATTTGATTACGAACTTAAAGACAGTAATAAAACTCATTTTTATAGCATTCTGATTAACATCAGTGCGTTTTTGGAAGTCGACTCATTAATAAAGATCCTGAAATGGAGCCTAAACCCTTATTTTTTAAGAAACACTACTACAGTAAATTTTGTGTCTGTGACGGTAATACTTTTTGCTGAGGAATTGTTTCCCTTTTGGCATATAAACGTAGCCTTAATTAGCAAATCCCATTCCCCATGTTTACTTTTCTAACTGGACGTCTGCCAGTAGCTTTGGTCTGTAACAATCTATTTGCAAGCTGATTTTTATACGCCTTAATCAAATAAGGAACAAATTTCGGGTGTTTTTCGTGTATCAATTTCAGTGAAATTCGAGTGAGCAATGTATGATATAAAAATATCTCTTGACCTATGGAATAGGATTAACAATTTTGCCACATTTCGTTTATACGTAGCACTATTAATCATAGATTTCAATTGCTGAAATTTATTTAACGGAATTCATTTCAGATAGATTATAGACGGATTTCGCAAACCTCGAAATCGATCCCAATCAGGGCACGTTGGTAGTTTTGTTAGTGAAACAGCTAACAAGCAAGAATTTGTCCCAGGTTGTCGGAAACCATGAAATGGTGCTACAATGGTACCTCCATTAACCGTCACCTCTATACAACGGATGCTTCTCAACAACGGACAAAAGTTGTTGTCCCAAATTGTCAACATTTAAAGGAACCTCTATACAATGGACAACTACACTGGTCCAATCTGTGTCCGTTACATGAAGGCTCCACTGTATTCTCTTGGTACAATCATTTCCTAAACTGTACAACTATTGTTTTAAAAGCCTTCTTCATACTGCTGTTAAAACCATTGACCAACCCGTTTACTTACTTCTAAAGTTTTTTGCAAAATTTTCAAGGCATTGTAAAGGTGAAGGAAGGCAGGTTTCTTTTTTGTACTTCACGCTTTTGCTTTTGTCCAACTCCTATTTTTGTCAGTCTAAATCAATCTAGCTCAAGACAAAAGGGGATAGTTTTTGTAGATGTGCTAACAAGGGTGGTCAAAAGGTGGCCCCATTGTAATCAAAGTATAGCTTCGAAGAGAACACACTGAATCTTCCAACAGAAGCTTATTGGGGACATGGGGAGGGATTTCACAGTTACAAGCAAAGACAATTCTCAATGTTTCTATCATTTTCAATTGCTCATGACATTGCTGTCAAGTTAGAGGGGAAAAGTATATTTTCATAATCTGTTTCAAAATTTTTATGCCAGCCAGTCTAGCATATTTGTGGATTTTCAAGAGGTTTCTGAGTTCTTGCCTTTTCCAAGTTTCCATAGTTGCTCAATTCTTTTTCTTGCGAATACTGAAGTTTGTTAACTTTTTCTGACTGTCCAATACTCGCTTCTTATAAAGAGTTTTTTTTATAAAAATGGAGAATAGCAAAAGTTTCACGAAACTTTGAGAGAACGAATTCAGAACATTTGAGCCTTTGCAGGAACAAGATATGCAGGTTGGAAAAATAAAGTATTTGCAGAATGCACGTCTTCACTTTTTCAGTTGTTTGTGCAGCAAAATGGGCAGCTCGCTAATTTCTAAACCAGAACTCTTTGACAGCGTTGTGTAACACATCAAATGCAATCCAACCGCAAAAGAAACCAGACATGATAGTTATCAGAATAGACCACCTCTCGCTCAATGTGTGGTCAATGTTGGACCCTATCTTTGATGCCATGATTTTATACGTGCGAATGTGGGGGACAGAAGTCGCTTTTCAATTGTGGAGAAGCTAGAGGGGTTGGATAGGTGATTGCAGATACTGTTTTCATCATTATAAATTGATTCCAATAGAAAAGCAAACATGAAAGAGAGGCCAAGCAATTTTAACGAATTTTCGACGGTCACACAGTTTAGCTTATTGCCCTGTAACTGAGGAATGTTCGATATTCCTTTGCCTTGCCAATAGATCTGCTGTCTTTCACCACAGCAACTTCAGTTATTTATCATCATGACAGAATATCATCGCTTGTTTATGAAAATGAACTAAAGACTGGCCAGGCTATAGCATGCCTCGCCTAGCATACACTTGAACTTTCAACGACACACTTCTTGGGAAGGGGCTCAAACATTGCAAAATATAAGACAACAACGTTTGCTTCCTAAAGAAGAAATAGAAGGAAAAGCAGATTGAAAAAATCAGATATGGCGTTTTCTAATAGGTGGAACAGTAGTAAACAAGTTGACAGCTGTTCATACAAACAGAAGTAGAAACGCTTGACACTCTCTGGTTACCAACCTCACTTGAATGACACAAGAAAAGAAAATAATGTTCAAGGTACAAAAGTACCTCATGTATAAGAATTTTTACGTCGCAACACAGCAGTTTCGTATCCAGTTCCTCTAATCCCCTTGCATACAGTGACATCTGCAGCGAAGTCAAAGAACATAGGGGTAAAACAAAGGAAAATTGAAGGGGTGAACAATATCTTTATCATTATATATAGACCAGGATACCACCTATACACCTATACATCAACCCTGAACGGTCACACCCCTTTAAAGCATCCTGGTCACAACACTGCTTGATAAAAAATTCAAAGCATCTTGACAATATGCGCTTCTGGATATCAGGTTTTTCGGGCGGTTTAGACATATCTATGGCTTGCTGGAAAGTAATTCTAGGTGTTTTAAATTTTCCTTTTATAAATTGGACTACAAGGTAGACCCTCAGAAGGTCAATGAAATTATGCGGTTCTGTCCATAACGTACCAATCAATTTAGCATGTTGTCACTGCTCCCAAAGACCGACGGCCTCCTTTGTAAACGTTGATGCGTAGACTTCAGTTATCTCGAAAATGGTTATTGCTGCAACACCTCACTTTTTCGAAGCTTCACACGAATGGCTCCCTAGGACACAAAGGAGCCCGGGGCTTCTAGAGCGTCCCATCAATTAAAAGATTAATCTGACAGCTTTTCTATTCATTTTTCGGTCAGACCAAATTAAAACCACCCTAATAATTTATTAAAAGATTCTGCGGAGTCTCAGCTGCGGGTTTCTAACTTGAAACCGAATTGAATCGATTAGTTTGTAGCCTGTTCCCAAGTGGCAGCATTTGTAGAATGGGGCGCAGGCTATCACTTTGTTGCAAAAAATGCCGTGGGCCTTATTACACAATGTAACTAAAGGCAATCCTCAAGCAGTTCCGCTGGTATACTTTTAACATAAATAACCTGCATTCGACATGTATTCGCGGTTCCTTACAAAGCCATTTTTGACTCAAAGTATTCTCAAACAATTCTTGCTTTGATTACTATAGGGGCATATATCTGATTATGGTGCTCAAGTCGAAAATGCAGGTTACACAAGTGTTTTCAATTACTTGCCAATTATGATTTATCCTGTGATTAGCCTGTTATCTCGTTAAAAAATTCACAATCTCGCTTGTAATACGAAGCATAGTGCAATTTCCATAATAAGAGTTATGAAAAGCAGAACCGGAGTTTCATAAGCGAGCAAGTTGAGACAGTTGTCCAACTTCTAAATGTTATGTCGTTTCTTCAAAAGTCTTCACCTCAAAACGTTAAAATAAAGTTAAAAAGAAGAAAGTAGGATCTTGAAAAGCAAGTGAAGAACTTTTTAAACTCTAATACATGTCGAACATGATTACTTACTAGATAGTAATACACTGTAAGGGACTAGGGAAGAACAGAGGAAGAGAGAGCGAAAGAGGAGGGGAGAAGATAATTTTGCAAGTAGAATGGTTGGGGTAAAACTTCTTTTCAAAAGTAAATTTTATGAGCAAGGCATCAACCCTTTAGGGTTCAATAGAAATCCAGTTTCAACTTGGGATTGAAATGACGACGTAAATTGTTAAAACATTTTTCTTTGGAAACCAATTTGGAATGCTTTTCAGATAATGATGCTAACAGCGTGACAAGTTTCGGGATTGATTGGAATACCTTATCTAATTTCAATTCATTGAAATTTAATCTTGATATTTGAAACTTCGCTTAATCCCAACGTAATAGCACGAGTCCAGGATTAATAGGAATATATGCCAAGGCATGTGGCCTCATGTCAGTCATCTGTTTTATGCTAACAAAACTGTGTGTCAAAGAATTTACCTGTTTTATGAATCGTTACCATAATATCTATTAATGTGTCAAATAATCACCTTATGGCCTGAAGAACTATTTTATGCCATTTATCTTATTGTCAAACTCATTTCAACTGTCAAAACTTTTGTGCCTTTAAACATATCTCTTTCACAACCAAGTGACCCGCAAGTCATGAATTTGTTTGAATTGCAGAGGTAATGTCCGGGTTACATACCATTTTTCATGAAGAAGAGATTTGTAAGTTGACGATAAAAGAAGTCATCGCTGCTAAGTATTCTATCACATATTTCGATGATTTGTCTGTAAATAGATCTGTTTAATTTAGTTTCAATAAATTTTGGTGTAATTAGATAAGTTGAAGTGATCCTTGATTCATTAAGTCAGTTATCGGCGATGTTATACGTGATAAAGAAGATCACGAACATTTCATAATATCATTCATTACATCATAATTAAGAAACTCTTAAGAAACAATGAGTGTTGAAATTACCAGAACATTAAAAAAACTGGAGTACTCAACATCGACCTTTGTTTCTTATAATAAAAATGAGTGCAATCGATATGAAAGTTTTGCAAGAAACAACCTACTTTTGAGAAACTTTAAGCAATGCCTTTCCTTTTATGAAATGTCTTAATTTGATTCCTCTTTTCCCCACCAGATATAGAAAATTAGCTTATCTGTGACAGTATTCAAACAGACAAACCTGGCAGACAAATAGACAAGCAGGCAAAAAAGGTTTCAATCTATTTTTTGAGAAATATCTTTGAAAAGTGTCTAGTTCCATGCAGATTGAAGAGCTAACAGAAACCCCTTTTTCTTCTATTTCTTCTTGCTTATTCACACTGCAATTAAAAGAGTATGGAGATTCAATGGAGAATTTAAACACAGTTTTATGAAATTTTGGCAGAGCTTATAACACTTTTGTAAGTAACGTCTTCCGTTGTCCTGCACCACTTCTTTAGGTAGAGGGGCACCGTTCGGACCAGTGTAATTTTCCGTTATACTGAGATGTCTGTTGTATAGAGGTTCCTTGAAAAGTGTGTTGACCATTGGGGGCCGAAATACCTGTCCGTTGTTAAGAGGTGTCTGTTTTATAGAAGTGTTCGTTAAGAGGTTCTACCGTTAATCAATGTTCATGAAACCAATTAACATTTGAAAATCTTTATAAAATTCGAAATTTAAAATAACGGTGTAAAGATAGCTGATTTAGCGAAGGAAAATTGAGAGTACAATTCGGATTCACACTTCATGATGTGGATTTTCCCTAACGCTATAGTTTCTCTGAATTTGATAAAAGGGGTCGAAATGAGATCGGGCTGGTTTTTGGGTAGGACGAATTTTCAAAATTTGATAAATGGGAAGAGGTGAATTTAGTACTCTACAGTACATGTTTCATTATTTGGTTTTCTTGGCAACTGGTGCTCTCGGTTAAAGAATTATAGAGGATGTTTTTGGGACTTGAAAGGTACATTTTATTTCATAAATGTGTTATGGCTAACCACCTAATAAAATATTCCTATTTTTATTGGCTACTGTGTACTGGAGAGAACTAGGGAGGAGCTTCCATGTACTGTATGTTGTTATATGCTGCATAAGCCCCGGCCTGCCTTTGAGAGTCTTATGAGAATGCAACAAGGCTGCCTCGTTCCATATCAGGGTAATTGCTGTAAGGGCTAGATATGTTTAGTTGTTAAGAAGACCGTGAATAAGCTAATGGCGTTTAAGTGACTTAGTCAGTTATCTTGTTAGAGGGATAAATAGAGCTGAATTGAAATTCACTATGATATGCACTAATCGCCGTTGAGTACACTGGGTCTTTCATCGTCCATGCGAAGATGTGGCCTCAAAAGAAGCTCCGAGAAACAAGAACCAAGTATTCGATAACTTGTGGGTTGTCACCTTTGAAGGCGTTTCACTTAAATCTTGTCAGCTCTAATGTGAATATTCGAAAAGAGGTGCTTTTAACCTATAGATAAAGCGAAGTCAAGGTTAATAAGCATGGAATATCACACAAGCCAAAGAGGCCATATTTGATCCCTTTCCAGTTGCCACTGTTTCAACTTTACCTGAAATCTACGCTTTTTGTTTTGTAAGCAACCGAAGCCGCCTATAAGAAATTTCTCAGTACCGACCATCAGTTAAGGAAATGCTATAAAATGCAGAAGTCATTCTCTTCGCTGAGGCATTTTTCCTGTTCAAATGACAAAGATTGTATAAAGAAGTGCTATGCTGTGGATGTATTACTTTATGTTACGTGTTAATGTCGCACACACGTTTTTGTGACCTCTTGCCTACCCAAACCAAG